CTCCCCATCCCCACACATTTTTCTCCTCCTGCTCCCTCACATCATCACACAATCATGGACATAGGACCTTGAGGGGTGGACAAGTCAGGGGGTGCGGGTATGGACCCCATTTCCGCATTCCTGTGGCAACCTGCCCCCCAATTTTATTTGCACCTTAAACACTTCCACCAACGACATTCCACGCAAACACACACTTAGGGCCTTGGGAGTGAACACATTCAACAGCATTTGGCAGGGGGATTTTTCAGCCTCATCCTGAGTGCCGGTGCCCTTCCAATTTTAAGCTACACTTAGACACTGAGGGCTGTGGGTGCAAGTGGGGTGGTGTGGTGGCATCAGCTGGCATAGGCCAGACGATGCCCGCACTGGCTGCTCACCACAGCCATGGAATACACCTCATCATCATGCACTAACACTATTTTGGAGCAGGCGGAGGGAGACTAGGGGTCTTAGCACACCTCTGATGTCGCTTGGCTTCCCGGGGCTGGAGGGCGATCTGGCCGTCTGGTTGGGGTCTGGGGTGGTGGGTTGCTTTGCTCAGTGTAGGGCAGGGGAGCCTGCCAATCAGCACCCCAGCAGAAAGGGCCAATTTCTGGGAACCAGTAATTGTTGTACCCCATGTGCAGCAGTACCGGGACCAGACTAAATAGGGTTTGTATGGGGAGCATGAGTGGGTGTCCGGCGTGCATTTTTGTAAGTCTTTGGTTGTATGTGTATGTGTGAGCATGATGGAGGCATAGTGTGACTGTGTCAGTGTATGACTGTATATGTCCGGGGGAGCCTTTGACTCCTCCCTTCTCTTGGGACTTCTTTTGATGCTATACATCTTCGTTTCCCCTCCCCCTGCCACACCTGGTGTGGAGTGCGGTGTCTTGGTCTGCCTGAGTGTTGGTGGCTCCCGGGTCGGGGGGTTTAAGATTATGGCGTCTGCCTGATTAATGCCGGTGGCTGCCTGGTGGAATCTGGGTCCCTGGGCTCTGCTGAGTCTCTGGCGATGGGGGGGGGGGGGGGGGGGGGGGGGCTGGGTCCCGGGTCGCTGGGTCCCGGGCTCGGCCGGCTAGGGGGTGGGAGGCTGCCTGTGGGCTTGCCGCTGATATCTCCCGGGACTCTGCTGGCTGCTGGTTGTGGCCCCCCTGGGCAATCCTCTGTGCCTCTCGAGGGGGGCAGGGGCTCTTCTGGTCGCAGCCTCATTGGGGTCCCTATGCTCTGGGGCAGCTCCTGGATCTCTGGGACTTGGAGCACCCTCCATCTCCTACACATCTTTGGGGGCAGATCTGTGGCCCCTTACACTCTCTATTGGATGCTCCTATAGAAAAAACTTACATATACAAGTGTGTGTACACACACAGGTGCTCACATGGAGCTCTCATAAGTATGGACTTGGGCACGTTCAACACGTCTTAAGGCTGTGGTTGGCACTAAATGCACTGTGATCTAATATTGTGTGATTGTTCAGTAAAACAATGTTGATTTTATATTTCTTCATCAAGTTGATGCAGTGATGGCTTGCTCCTGTTGTATTGTTGTGTCCCTTTTCTGCAGGTCGAGAAGCAGACTCTTGTTCATCATTGATTATTTTTGTGTCCTGCCTCCTTGTTTGATTGACAGCCTCTGCTTTCACAAGGGAGGAAAGGAGCTCCACCTCCAGTCTCCGTTGCTGGGTTTCACTCACGTGATTCATGTGACGTTTGCAGCCACGTGAAATTCAAAGGAGAGACAGGAAGTGTTTTACTCCGCAACAAAACAGAGATGTAGCACAGCATGATGGATGAAAGCGATTTTATTAAGGCTTTAAATGAGTTGGCATAGATGCGATATCACCAAAAAATACATCTTTTTTTAGGTTGTGACCCATATAGTTTAAAAAGTCACACATTTCATTCACAGTGGAGACTTTACCCATTGATGAAACGATCGGCAATAGATTACCTTGTGCTGCCTTCTTCACATTACACTGAAAGCCAAATGAATTTGTTGAGGTGACCCAGAACAGGCCCATTGACAACATGACTCGGCCCTGGGCTGGTTTCTCCTCTCTGTGTGTAAACCTCTGATCTGCAGCCCCCACTCTCTGCACTTCAGCTCAGCTCCTCTCTGTTTCTGTGTGATTCTGCACTTCCGCCCCTGACTCTGGGTGTGTGTGAGGGCTTCTGCCCTGCCTCCACTGGCCCCCCTCTCTGCACTCAGTTCTGTGGAACAAGCTGACTGGGTTCAACGGAACCAAGATGCCAGAAGTGTGAATGCTGACTTCTCAGAAACCAGAGCATGAGGTCTTAAAAGGACTGCATGTGTGAAGAACAGGAAAAGAAGATGGGAAAAGGAAACCACAAAAAGTCACACTGCAGAAGAATGGGTGTGCAAGAGATGCGAGAAGACACAAAAATAAAGATGTTCTTTTCCTTTCAACAGGTGTTAAAAAAGTTGGCCTTTGATTCGAGACTGTAATAAAACAAGAAACAGCCCGGAAGAATGAAAAAAAATATTGTAATGCATGATGGTGGGAGGGGTGAAATAAAATGTTTTGGCTGGGTCCAGGGGCGGCGTTAGGCCCGGCTACTTGGGCTGAAGCCCCGGATCTAAATCGCGGAAGTAACATGCAGTACCAAAGTCACACAGAGAGGGCGCAGCTGGCAGTCGTTTGTAAAGTCCCATTTAGTCGTCACACACACAGGTGTGTGGTGAAATTTATTCTCCGATTTTGACCCATCCCCTGAGTTGCAGACACGCCGCGCTCGGGAACTATTTGGTGGTTTAACCCCCCAATCCAACCCCAATCCAATGCTGAGTGTCAAGCAGGGAGGCATTGGGTCCCATTTTTCTCAAAATCTTTGGTATGACCCGACCAGGAGTCGAACCCCTGATCTCCCGATCTCAGGGCAGACACTCTACCACTAGGCTACTTAGTCAGTATACAGTTTACCTGAGACTGAAGAGAAGCCCTTCAGCAGCTGGCTTATGCAGTCTGTCTGAAACGCATGAGTGAAGATGGATATAAGGACGTTTTTTTAGACCAAAAGTACAACGACAGAACCCCAGCTCTGATGAGACTGGTGTTGACTCAGGTTTGTGAGTCTTATTTGAAAATATTTGTTGTGCTGCTGGTTTGCCTAAAGTTAGCTTACTATCAGGTAAAGTTGTTGGAGAAAGAAAGGGAATATTCACTATCATCTCACACTAAACACTAACAGGAACAATACTCTGCCCTGAATATGCTGAATATGTAGCTTCAGATTAAACATTATGTGGTACAAGACAAATATATATGATGTTGACTAGTGCGTGTCACGTGTGTGCGCGCATGCGTGTGTGTGCGCGTGCGTGTGTGTGCGCGCGCGTGTGTGTTAAGCCCCGGATCTTCTTCAGTCCTAAATCCGCCCCTGGCTGGGTCTGATCGGGGTTGGTTGGTTGTTGGAAACTGTTGGTGGCAGAGAAGTGTGTTAACACTCTGTATTTCTCCTCGGATCTTCTAGAATCTCAGGTTTTTAATAAGAGCTTTTCCTATTTAGCCTACGCTATTGTTCTTTGTTTGGAGTACCCTTTTTCCTTTCTATGTGTGCCGGTGAGTGGAACGGAGGTGAGGATCCACACGCTGGGGAGGAATCAGGCAGGTAGACAGACTGGGTAACGTAAAAGGTTTTAATAACAAACGCACGCAGGACATGGGAACAATGAGCCAACAAGAGACAGAACTGGAGGGGTTTAAATACAAGAGGGTTGGGAGCTTGGGTGATTGGAAAACGAGAGGCAAGTGGGAGCAATTAATTCAGATCACCTTCAAAACTCAGCCACACACCCAGGGCCGTCTCAAGGCATTTTGGGCCAAGGCAAAACGGAACACCCCCTCCCCCATCACTGGGTTTCCCCAGAAGCCTTTGTGTAATTCCTACCCTGTCCAGGAGTGTTAATTATACAGTGTTTGTAAAAACACCTCAGACATCACTAACATGTTCTAATATTGTCCAACGAAAAACGAAATTGTCGGCCATGCAGTCTCATCTGTTTCTTTTCCAAACTCACAAAAATCTGTCAGTAACAAAACCGTTTGAAAGCCTCTATTTGTGGATTCTCTGAAAGTTTCCGTGATTGATCTTGTCTAATCTCACAGCTGAAACAAGCATCCTTAATAATCTGTGCACAGGAAGATGACATGATGATGACTTGAAACTTCAAAGGACTTGGACTTGACTTGGACTTCCACAATTGACTTTGGACTCGACTTGGTTGTCTTTGACTTGGACTTGACTTGAAAGACTTGTGACTTACTTGTGACTTGCAGAGCAGTGACTTGGTCACACCTTTGCTCAGTGGTCCCCTTTAAAGTGACCTGTTCAGGCTCTGGTCGGACCTTTGGCAGGTTCTTCATCGCTGCTTTCTCCTCAGTCAGATATTCCCACCATTCCTGCCTTTCCCAGTGTCCACTGAGAACCTCGTTTTCTTCTTCACTTTCCTCACATTGTTTAAAACAAAACAAACATCTCAAATATTATTGGAAGTTTATGGTTTTTCTTTCATGTTTTAGTATTTCCTGCATTTAACAGAACATGGTTCATGCTCCAACATTTCTGAAATGAGATCGATTCAAACACAAGATTTAATTTTAAAGCTGCACAAAGACACTAAAAGCTAACAGATGGATCTATTTAAGCTCAGTTTAAGACTAATTGGATGTGTCCTGTAGGTTTTCAGTACTTTTTAGGATTTTGTTAGCATCTGCAGAGCAGCTTTTTCCAACAGCCTGAGATGTTGAATGAGGACGATGTTGTTTCACTTTGTTAAATCTTCTTAAATGTTTAAACTGTCTCGCACTATTATAGTGTCCTGAGGGCTGTTGTGATTCTTTTGGGAGGATGGCATGTTGTGTCAGACATCTTCTGTTTATCAGTGAAAACAAGTTTAAATGAAATAATGGCGAAGCATTGAAATAACGAATCAAGAGACTAGTGAAGATCCACGCCTGGGAATTGAAACTGAGACCAGTCAGCAGTGTGTAAAAAGTCAGACGCGTTTGAATATAGCTTTATTGATCACCAGGCTAGTTCCTTTTCACAACAGTTCTAATTCGACTCAGATATCGTGTTCTGAGCAGCAGAAGAAAAAAACCTAGTTAGAGAATCAAACAGAACAACATGTTAGATGGTGAACAGGAAAGCAGAGCCCGATGCTGTAGTTCATGTCAGTACAAGGTAAGACAATATGCATATTCAAATATACCTCTTTAAACTAGCACGGTAGCTTTAATAGTATTCTTATTTCCATACTAAACAGTTACATTCAGGATTATAACTAAATAAATCACATGCAGAAAGATTAGATGAACGGATTAGGCTGATCACCTCTAATGCAGGTAACTGAAAGATGCACTTTTATTTATTCTTTTCTAACTTGTCAGTGTTCAGTAGTTTCAGAAGTTGTTGGTCATCTCTTTGTTAATGTCTGTCAGCTGTGACTGATGGTGTTCGTAAGGCGTATGTGAGGAGAGGAGACCAGCACTTGGCTCCACCCTCACCATCACTCCTCCAGCTTCACCCAGCCCAACCACTCCTGCGCTCCAGAGGGCGCTCTCTGCCCTGTCGTCTCCCCGGCTCTAGTTTTACGTAACAGCTCATCTCTGTTTGAACCTTTTTGGAAATTAAAGCTTTTTTTCTTACAGGTTTTAGCAAACTGAGGTGATAACTAGAAGTAACTAGATGAATTCAGAGACTTAGTAGCACTTGTTATTCGTTTCCTCCGGGCTGGCCCTTTGTTAACTAGTGAATGGTAGACGAGGCCTCGTGAAGCCTTTCGGCACATAACCCAAACTGCATCGATTCTGTTGGTCTACTGACACCTGCTCCATCATAAACATCTCTGCTGACATCAAGTCCCGCTGTGCCGCCTACCCAATGTGGGCGGGTCTGATCCCCAACCCCGCTCTGACAAACGTGCATTTTCCCTGTAATGTCTCAACATTGACGACATTCTTTCATGTATGACGGTTCAGTTGAACAAATGTGACATAAAACCTGCAGAAAAAAAATCAAAGATGTAAAAATCATTTAAAATCCTAATTCTGATGGATCGAGCAGAAAACAAGATGAAACGAGGAAATAAAACAAATAAAATCCACAATGGGTTTCCTCTCTGGCTCATTGTGTATCAGTGGAATAACTCATCCCGTTGCCAGACAGAGACGCTCCTCCGTTTAAACACGGACCAGCCAAACAGCTGCTACATCGGTCACGTGACTACTTCCTAATGATACACGTGCCGACGCGTGAGTGTAGCTGGACCCATCACTAGCGTAAACTTGTTGTCTTTCTGCACCCTTTTGTTAAACAAAGTTTGTTTTAACACCCGAACATTGCTATCATTACCATGCTGTCCTCTTTGTGTTAAACTAGCTTACAGCTGCTACCATAGCACTTCATTCATGTGACCGTATATGTACTCTGGTCGCACGAGTCACACATATTTGTATTAAATGACATAGTTGACGTTTCCTTGGTGTGTAATATGAAAGCTAAGTGTGTTCTGATGACAAACGGTTTACGGCGTTAACTTTAGGGTCATGTGACCACCACAAATGTTTATTCCTAAAACTCACAGCTGCTCAGTAGAAAATAAAGTCCTTCAGTCTCTAAACATCCAGACTCTGGAACTGAACATGAAAATGACACATTAATGAGGAAAACTTGAATTAAATATGTGGAGAAACGAGCTGAAGTGGACTTCTGGCGTTGCCATGGTAACACAAACGCTGATCATTTTACCTAAACAGGGCCAGCTACACACCTCTAATCAAGCAGCTGCTGGTCTCTATTTAAAGGTGCATTATGTAGAAATGAAACAAATAACACTCTGTCGTGAGAGGTAGTTACTGCAACCACTTTAAACTACTCTGGAGCTTTTTGCCGGCTGTTGACAAATTACAATGTTCGGCGCTGCAGTGTTAGCTCACAGCCGACCCCCCCCAAAACACTGATGGTACACCGTCGTTACGGCCTTCCTTCCTTTGTTTCAGGAGGAGGGAAGCTGACAGTCCAGCAGCCGGCTGATCTGAAACATGTTGCAGGAGAACCTTCCCTCCAACATGACTGACTTTTGAGATTTTCTCACCGTAAAATTCTCACTATAATCTTACATACTGCACCTTTAAATCTTTGTAGTCTTCGTAGGCATGGGGCAAAATACTTTCCTTTCCTTCTCATTTATCTAGCATTGATTAACAGGGTCTGCCTGTGGACGCGTGAGCCACGCTGGCCTCTACTTGCTTGGATTAGAAAGGATTGAGCTGATTAGCGCTGATATAAAGAGCTCTGTGCTAGCAGTATAGCTGTAGCTGCTAAAGGGGTCATTATCCTCTGGTAGCACAGCTGAGCCCTTAGCTCTAACCCAACCGCTGTCCTATCCGGTGAGCAGGGGTGAGGGTTTATCCACTGAGGTCCACGTGGCAGGGGTGAGGAGAGAGCATCCTTAGATAGGACAGCGGGAGGGTTAAATCACAACTCAAGACAAATCAGTGGGAAAAACAATAAAAAGAACAAAGATGGTAGAAAATAAATAAGATGAAAGAAATCAGGATAAAAGCAGATCTGCTGAATCACTGTGTCAGGAGGAAACTTGCATATTCAACTAATGCAATTTCAAAGCTTTTCCACCGTGTACAAACACACCCCACTGCCTGCAGAAACAAGCCAACACAACCATGTGTGTGTATTATACTGAATACACACCTACCTCAAAATGACTCCTATGGTTGAGCAGCATCAGGACCGCTGATATAAAAACATTCATGCTCAGTCGATGAGCCTTTTTCCCGGTTTAACATCAAACTTTGTTCCTTTTAGAAGAACGTCATGCATATTTTCTGTTTCCTCGACTACAAACGTGTAAACTCTCCTTCTCGCCTCAGAAAAAGTGCATTTGTATTTGGTGCAACAATCCGCTCACAGACTTGCTTATTGGCCGAGTGTAGTATGTGCAGAAACAGCATTCCAGCTTAGGTCCACCTGTGACCTGGCTGAACCATTTGTTGTCACTCTAGTTAGAGTGACCCTCATGTCTTTGGACATGCTGAAGGCACGTAGCGCACGGGCAGCCTCCTGTATAAGCCTAGTTTGCTACATGTTGTCTAAGGTTTGCTCCATCGCTGTGTGATGTTGACAGTGATGAACTTCATCGCACACACAACCAAAAACACCAACTTAGGATGACGGCATCACAAAGGGTTTCTTCTCTTTACCACGCCCTCTGCATTAATATAGAAGTGATGTGACAGTGGGCTGGTGGAACCAACACACCAACATGAAACTACTCAGCAAAAACAACTAAACGTTGTTTCTTCACCTACTGAACTCAATCAAGAACAGAGAGTAAAGAATTTCAATGGGGCCACCTAGAGAGGATTAACCCTTCACAGTGCCGGTGCAAGTATCGTGCATCAGAGACGCTGCAAAAGCCAGGCCCTCAAAGCTTACCACAAACATCAGTTGGTGTCATCATCAAGATCATGGAAACATCGGGAGAAGTCAGCAAAGGAAGGTTTTGTTGGACACTGATAAAAACGAAAAGCTTTACTTGGGGAATAAATGCTTTTAAAAAATGTGCAGCCAGAGTGGTTTGTTACAGCAGAGTTGTGGTTTGAGTCATACTGGTCCGATTTTCTATCAGGATTAAACCAGCTTTAGATAAACAAGCAGAGAAGTTGGTCCATGCCTCCTTGTTGGGACCCCTGGCAACAGCCTGCAGAAGCTCCGGTACATCCAGAACCCTGCTGCACAGGTCCTGACGAGGAGGCGCAAATATGATCATATCACCCTGTCCTGAGATTACTCCATTGGCTGCCCATCCAATATCGAATTCAGTATAAAATTGGCCTTCTCACCCACCAGTGCATCCATGGAACTGCCCATGCCTGTCTGAGCAAACTTCTCACCCCAGACACTGCCACAAGAAACCTCCGATCTACCACCTCTTCACACCGCCTGCACCAACCACGGACTAAACTCTCCACTCTGGGAGACAGGTCCTTCACAGCAGTGGCTCCTCGGTTTTGGAGTTCTCTTCCAGAGTCTCTGAGGGCTCCACAATCTGTGGAGGTTTTCAAAAAACGACTCAAGACCTTTTTGTTTAATAAGGCTTTCTACGGCCTCTTTTTATGACCTACTGTGCGTTTTACTGTATTGTGTTGTTTTCACCTATAGTTTGTATTTACTGTAACAACTTCTTAGATTGATTGCATCTATTCTTGGGGACTGTTCTAATTCCGTACTTGATAGCATGTTGAGATTGCATTGTGTTGTTTTCACCTATAGTTGCTTATTCACTGTAAAGATGGGCTTTATTACTCTGAGGACTGTTTTTACCTCATACCTTGTAGCACTTTGAGACCCTACCCTAACCCTACCTCTGTAATGTAAAGTGCATTATACATAAATTGTATTACTATTATCATAAGCTGTGAGCTCAGAGCTGCAAACAAACATGAAGTTAAGGTATTTGCATGAAAAGCTCACTATGACAAAGCAGCAACCATGTTGATTTCAGGTGACGGGATGTAGCATGAGGAGGGCTGCAGCGGCTCCCACGAGTGCTGCTGGCTTTGCTCCACCTTCAGATGGGAGAATGAACGGTTGGTGGTGACGGGGTAAGCACAGCTGTGCTCCCAAAGCTCAGAACTCTATTTTACAAGCAGGGAAAGACTCGTCCTGCATGACGACAGTGCTGCTGGAGGCCAGAACCATGATGTTCAGGTCGTGCTGCCTCACGTGGGTCTGCTGGTACCACTCCCGGGTCACCTCTGTGTCATGAGTTGGTATCACCGTCACCTGATTTCAATCACAAAGAGAAGAAAGGAGAGAAGTATTTTGTCGTGGTGCAGTGAGAATATCATGAATAAACATACCTGCAGGTTGGAGCCCCACTGAGCTTTTCCCTCCAGCAGAGCATCCAGAACCCCACGGCTCGGCTCCCCGCTGCCAGGGTCATTCCCGCTCACCACGTAGTAAGCAGCTCTCACTCTCTTGAAGAATTCCTGGTCCACGTTCTTGGCACTGCAGTGGTTGGGCACATAGGCCAGGTCAACAAACACAGGAGGTCCTGGAGGAAGAGTGTATATTTTGGTCAAAATAGTAATCCCAGACCAACTAAAACTAATGACTATTGTCAAACTGCATTTTATCTCCTTATTTTTGTGTTTAAAATCTTTGTTTCTGACGTTTAAAACCAAGACAAGGGAGTTCAGAGGATGACAATTGTACCCGGGTAATTATAATCTCGTGTGCAGTACCTGTTGAATTCAAAACTGCATTTTGAACACTCTAAAATATTGGTTGTCATTAACTGAACCTCCTGGCGTCTGTCCAATGTAGGAACTTGTTCAGATCTCCGATTAGCGGGCTTTGTGATCAGAACGAGGGGAGAAACAGTCTGGAAGTAAAATTAAATGAGACAGCAGATTAAAGCTGCTGTAGGGAATTTACATTTAAAAAGTTTTAATTGGTTTAATTCTTCATGTATTCCCAGCTTGGGAACTTTTAAATGCTTTGACACCGAATTTTACGTTCCTCTGTGTCTGGGTTAAACGGCGAGGCCGTATCAGAAAAACATACAATGAGAGCAAACACATAGAGTCTATGATATATTTATTTTTTACCCTTTTCCCAGATGGGTTTATTCTTTTTGATTTCATTGGATTACAGTTTTTGCTACAATTTCTCCTGTTACTCCTAGGTGATGTAAGTCACTTTTTGTGTTTTTTTTTTCTATTTTCTTTACACGGATTAGGTTTTTTTTTGTTGTTGTTGGTTTATTTTAGGTTGTTTTATGCACACTGTGTTGCACGACTCTGCCCCTTGCTGACGTGTACTAGTAAGTGCACGCTCCTTGGGATGGGTGTTTTTTCACACGTTATGTGAGGTCCAATTTTAAAGTCGGGTTGGCGCAATGCTTGCCGGTATCTGACCCTTTTTGTTGATGTTTATTTCTGGTGAGCCATGAGTTGCCTCATGCCTCAAGAGGAGGGAAGGCTGATAATGATTTGCTCACATTACTACACTGCCTGGATGGAATTACCTTAAATATTAGATGATTGTTGCTGAAAACAATTCAAAACCAACAGTGATCTCCCAGAATTTTCTTGTGCTTTTTCGCCACAAGTTGTGAAACCAGGAAATTGGGTTCTGATAAAGGTGCTGAAGCGAACTAGATGGGGCAGCCAGAGGTCCATTCAGAGTACTCCTCATTTCTCCCACTGCTGTGAAGATTGCAGAGAGGCCATCTTGGATTCATCTATCCCACTGCAAGCTCATCAACGACAACCAACCGCTTTAGCGCGGCAACGAATTCTGGCTACAAAGGGGTGGGCCACCACTAGGGTGCCGTCTCTCAAACCCGGTGAAGATAAGATAAGATAAGATAAGATAAGATAAGATAAGATAAGATAAGATAAGATAAGATAAGATAAGATAAGATAAGATAAGATAAGGATCTGCTTCGAGCTTGCTGGGTTCACCACATTGTTGATGTTGGTGGTCGCACTCATGGCCCTGCACTTGGGCCGCCTCTCAGCACCTGATGCAACAACTGAGACAGCAGCATTTGAGGGGGTAATAGAACTGGAACTGAACGACGGATTGGGGCTCCTCCCTGACCGTGCACCTACATAACAACGTAACCTGCATCCACCTCGGCTGACGACCCCCTGGACGCATCTACAACAGGACACAGCGAAGAAGAGACGCTGGAAAAGGATAACTACTTCAAGCACCTGCACTCAAATCTCCAGACTGGTTTCACGGTGAAGGACCTGTAGGACCTTTCGGGGACAAAATCAGCTCCCTGACAATTGGACAATGGCCTTCGACACGCCATGGAAGGACCCTGGTGTCTTCCTATTGAGAAGTTGAACTTTGCGCTTCATGTTCCAAACTACTTTACTACGCTCCGGACCTGAACTTCAAGATACTTATCAACGTAAGCCTGAAACCATTCTGATCAACGGAAAAGGACCCTGACTTTCAAACCTATTGTTCATCCGGGACTCTCAGTCCACAGACAAGCCCTTTGATGAAGAACGCCTGGTTTGCCTCAGCTCTGCCATAGTTAGAGCTGCATAAATTAATATTACACCTTCATTTTTCCTCATTCACAGGAAGATTCGTCTGCAACTTGGAGCTTTAGAGCCCCCGCAAGGAGTCAAGCTCTCTTTTCTCAAAATCCGTCCGTGGAGACGGAGAACGCAAGCTTGTGATTGGTCAGGGCACCGCTGTCGTCTACACCGCCACCTCTGTGCCCTCAAAAACAAAGAGAGCCGAGGATAACTAGCGGCAGACACGGAGAAGCTTGAAGAAAACCTTGCGAAAAACTCTAAAAACATGAACGTTTAATCCTCCCGTGACTGGAGGAGTGAAAAGATACGCAGCAAGCGTTTTATTTGTGGACGGAAATGACGGGAAACGTGGGTTTAGAGGTGGTGAGCGCATAAAGAGGTGGAGGAGAATGAGAGACAAATTTGTCTGTTAAAAAGTCTCTTATATATAAAAAAACACGATATTAACACACCATCTTGGACTGGATACATGACAGGAAACCACAGAACAGCGCTACGTCTTCTGTTGTCCTGGTGGGGAATTGCTTTGCAACACTCCCCAGGAGACGGAGAAGTATGAGGGCAAAACATCTCCGTGCGTGCGTGTCTTCCGTTTGGAGCTGACGGAGAAGCGTGACTCAGGCTTCAGAGGAGAGTTCTCAGTTTGTCCGAAGCAGAGGAGGTAATGCTGCAGACACTGATGCTAGTAGCATGGATGCTAATGAGTGTAAACAGAAAGCACCATGGGATTTGTAGCCTTTGTTGCCAGTTTTAATATATATTTGATCTCGTGGGTTAAATAAAGATAGAGCCTGAGTTTGTCTCCTGTGACCTACGGCTAATTCAGTCCTGGTGGGAGTTAGACTTTCAGCCCAGCTGAGAAAATAATCTGATTTGTGTTGTTAAAACCAGTTCTAATTAATCCAAGAAGAGAAAGTGACAAACCTGAACTGCTTTTGATGCCATTGACCTTCCCAGGGTTGAGGAGCTCAGACTTTGAACCTTGAGTGTCAGACATTTTGATCAGCCTGAAGGCCGGGTCTGTGTCCTTACCCCGAAGGGAGGCTGATCGAGAGGAGGTGGAGTCCTTCGTCTGCTTTGCTGGGGTAGAAGACCTCTTCCTCACTTCCTCTCTACGGGCCGGCGAGGCGGACTTGGGCTTGCCCTTTCTGAGGCCCTTCTTTTTCAGGAGTCTCTCTGGGCCACTGTGACCATTCATACATGCTTCTGGGTCGACCATGCAGACGTCTGGATGAGAAGGATGGGGCAGAGGGTCTTTCATGGGCGTAGGGAGGGGATCGTTGCTTTTCTGAGATGACGGTGGGTGGTGACCCGCTGCAGCTTCAGAGGCTGATTTGTCAACAGGCAGATGCTCAGCATCTTCATCTGAATCCAGATTTCCTTCTGCAGTAATGGATGGACATTCTTCAGTTCCAGGAGGGACATCAGAGTCAGACTGAGAAGGTAATGACTCACTTGCTGACGTTGGAGGTGTTTCCTCTCCAGCTAATGTGGCAGCCAAACCTGATGACATGGAACCAGGTAGCTGGTGTTGTCCAGCCTCTCCATGGTGACTCTGAGTGAGGTGGCTCCTTGGCTTGTGGGACCTTCTTTTCACAGAATGTTGCTCCTGGTCATCCTCGTCCCCATCCTGAGAGTGGCCACCGTGGTCATCTTCTTCACCCTCATCACTGGAGAGGTGATGGGGACTGGGGTTGATGAAGGATGGAGAGAGCTCTCCTTTCTGATGCTTAGACTCACATGATGAGTAGCACGGAGAAGAAGCTGAGGAGGTGGCTCCAGGGTTCAGCTCCGAGGGACGATCGGTCTTGTCATCTCCTTTGTGGGATACTTCTGTGTGGTGAGCCTCTTTAGAAGAGAACATGGACATACCTTGGGCCCTGTCCATCCACTCAGCTGCTTCCTTATCATCATCATCATCATCATCATCATCATCATCATCATCAGGTGGAGGTGTGCTTGGGTAGTCATCAGGCTTCTGTAGAAGCTCCCAGTCAGACAAGCTGCTGTTTCTCTTCAGCTCTAATCGGTGTGATATTTCCTCTGACTTGTCCAGCCCTTCTTCACCTCCTTCGTCGTCCAGCTTTGGATCAGCTGTTTCCTTTGCATCCTTTGTGGGGCCTTGGCAGGTGTCCTCCTCTGGCTTCTGTTTGGCTCCAGCGCCTTTAAACATCTCGGTCTCACCGGGATCTTCTGCCACAGTCGCAGCAGCACTGTTGCGCTCCTCTGTAAACGTGACTAAACCAGTTATGGCACACGAGGTTCTGCTGGCTCCACTCTCGCTGAGCGAGGCTGTCATCTCCTCAGCCTGAGCCGAGCAGACTGACCCGTGAAATCTACTCTGCAGTGAGGAGGAGTCACTTGTTGGTGAGAAGGTCTTTTTCACGTCAGGCACGTTGAATGTTTGACATTCCACACGACATGGCAGTGTGCTGTCCTCCACTGCCAGTGTTTCAGGCTCATCGTTCAGGAACCTGTCAGCCCTTTGGAGAGGAGAAACATCAAAGCGAACGTCTGGTGGGACTGAACTTTCTGAGACGTGCACAGGGGACCGGCTGCTCAGAGGGGGTGTCTGAACCTCAGAGCTCAGCTCTGGGTCCTCGAGCTGCTTGGCCATGTTCACTGAGGCTGGAGATGATGGTTTGGATGGTTCTGCAGCAGGTTTTACCATCACCTCCATGTACTCATCTGTGTGAAATCCTCCAGAGCGTAAGCTTGTAGACGAGCCAGTGAACGAAAGGTGCGCCGTGGTCAAAGGTGCTTCTGTAGCTAGCTCTGTGAAGGCTTCCAATTTGTGTTCAGAGCGCGGGTCCAGGGTAGACCCTGAGGCGGAGGCAGCTTCCTCATGTCCTGCTGTGGTATCCAGACTTTCACCTGACCTGGACAGTATGGAGGCATCTAAGGGTACAAGTGTTTCTGTCTTTTCTACTTTGCTCTGAAGTTGACTGTCCTCATCATAAAACTGAGCAGAAGGATCACCAGATCTGCTTGTTTCTATATCTGCATGGCTAGCAGGTCCAGGAGGATCTGGACTGGATGTAGGTCTGGACTTCAGGTCTGAATAAGCCGCTGGGACAGGCCTGTCTGGCTCTGGTGAAAGGGAAGCCTGAGAAGAACAAACATCTTCTGGAAGCCTGGTTTTCACGGTGAGTTCGGGGGGCACATCTCTCTCATCTGCTTCCATGATCTCGACTTGTTTGGGGGTGTCTGCTGCTCTCACAGTCCCGGTTGTCACTGTGTCCTCCTCGTCCCCTCCTCCAGGCCTTCTGTCGGTGAGTGGAGAAGCTGAGCCGTCGTCAGGAGATGGTTTACAGGCTGATGCCTCTGGAGGGAAACTTGAAGCAGGCGGCAGAGACGATTGATTTGTGTGCTTTGGTTCTGCTGCCGGAGCACGATCTCTGCACATCTCTTTCTCCGACTGTTCCCTGGCACCCTTTTCCACATCTACATCACTGGACACCTCGTGTTCTTCCTCTCCATCATCACTGTCAACGATGAAGTCCTCCCCCTCCACCAGCAGCCTTTTGTCCTCCAGGCTCTCTTCATCCTCAGATGCCAGAAGATTCTCATCCATTCCCAATGTGACAACAGCACCAGGAGCTCTCTCCTGTCCTACTAACGGTGATGCTAGTTGGGGTGGAATGTCCTTCTCTGCAGGTGAATGGCGACCACATGGAGATCCCGCCAGTGAACCATCAGAGGTTTCCATTTTGTGTGACACTGTGGGACTTTGTCTTTTCTCTGCCATCTCTTTTTCTTCTGGTTCTCCAAAGGTTCCCGGGAAAGCCAAGGCGCTGAGATCAGGGTGGCTCCATTGGGGCGAGGGAGATTGTGGTCTGGATGTTGCTCTGGTAGAAACCGTATCATCTTCTCCTGCAGCTCCCTTCTTTACATCTTCTTTGTCTTTCTCTGGTTTCTCAGGTTTGTCCTCTTTGAGACTTAGGTACTCAGACTCGGCAGCTTGGGACATCTTGTTGTCTTGCACGTTTATGGATGAGAAGCTTGTGTCCACAGATGGTGTCTCAGCACCATCTTCCCTTTCACTCTCCTCTTCTTGGCCTTTTTCTCTGTCGTCATCGTTAGGAGGGTCTCTTTGACTGTGGTGGCTGCTCTTGTCCCTCTCTGTGAGGGACACTGGGCTGTAGTCCACTCTGCTGAAGGACAGAGGCTCCTCTTTGTGTGGATCATCCAGGAGAAACGTCCCTCTTCCATCTTCTGCTTGACTTGTTCGGTTATCATCTATGAAGAACTCAGAAGTACCATCCAGACCTGAAGAGCGTTCGCCTGCTTCTGCTGAGTCCAGGTCATGTTCTTTAGGGACGGGCTTTTCATACGGATCGTACTTCGATGCACCAAAGGCCTGAGCCTCATGTCTGAGGTGTCCACTGATGTCCATCTGTGATCTTCCTTCTGCTTTTGCGGGAGCAGTGGTTTGGGAAACATCATCAGGTCTTCTGTCCAACATGAAATACGAACATGTCTGTGATAATTCTGGAGAAGCCACCTCTCTTTCTCCTTCCATCTCCCTCTCGGCTTCCTTTTCTGGTTTCTCGTGGAGTTTGATCTCATGTGTGGAAGCTCTTTCTGAGCGGATCTGTGTCCAGGTTTGATTCTCCGTACAGGACGGACCTTCAGTGCTGGCTACTGCTGGCAGCTCAGCTTTCCTCCCTTCTGATGCTGATGCAGATGCCGCTTCTGTTTCGTCTTCCTTTGATGTCCAAATATCAAAGGAAGGCCCTGGCTTGGCCAGCGGGGCAGTCGTGGTTTCTGTTTTCACACCTTCGTCGGGTTCCTCTGTTTGTCCCTCGTTGCCATCTTCTTCCAGGGATGGTTCCTGCATGGTGACAGTAGCTGTGGCCTCTGAGGGCTGCTGAGAAGCAGCAGCTTCACTGTGCTCATCCGCTGGTGGAGTTTGAGTTAAAGACAAACCTTCAGTGGAAACATCTGAAGTAGATTCTACTGACAAAGGTCTTGAGCTGGCTTTTCCCAAACAAATGTCTTCCTGCTCCGCATCTGATGACTGAAACCCAAAGGCGTGTTTGGAATCCATCTTGGGCTCCAGCCCTGCTTGTGCTGGCTGTTTAATGTCTTTGCCCAGGTCTTTCTCTTGAACTTCCTCCTCCTCCCACTTCTCCTGTCTGGTGTGGTCTCCATCCATGTAGGTGGACTTGTTGTCCACCTTTGTGAGAGCAGCCTCCTTTTCATTCTCCGGCGTTGTTATCGTTTCATCTCTGGTGTCTTCAGCCTCAGAGGTGTAGTCTTTTTCTGGTTCTTTCTCCATTTTCTGTTCTTTGCTGAGTTCAGCAACATGTGTGTCATCTTTCTCCATCTCCCTCTTCTCTTCCTGACTCGTCCTAATCTTATGTTCTTGATTTTTCTCCTCCTGGATGTGTTCTGATGGTTTACAAAGGCCATGTTGGACCACAGATCCCTGCTGTAGTCCTGAGAAAGAGTTGGTCTCTGTGTGAGCATCAGAGAGATCATCACCGTGGCTTTCATGTGACCAACGTTGACCACTCGTCTGAGTTTTAATCTCCTGGTTCAGCAGAAACGTTGTGTCTTTGGTAATATCTTTATTGGTGCAAGTCTCCGTTACGATCTCACCATGAAGGTCCCGTTGGGCTTCAGCTGTTTGAGGGTCTTTGAGGCGTCGGATCTGAGATGAATCTGGATCTTCTGAGTGTTTTAGTTTACTTGCATCATCGTGTTGGGTAAACTTTATTTGGTCCAAGTCTTCTGTCTCAGTTTCTGCAGTCTGCTGCAATTGTTCCTCACAAACGCCGTCATCCGTGGTGGTTTTAAAAGGTGCAGCCTCACAGCTGGGGATCTTCTCACCCTGCTCTTGTTCTCTGCTTCCATCTGAGGCAGCCTCCTCCTCCTCCTCACAAACGCCGTCATCCATGGTGGTTTTAAAAGGTGCAGCCTCACAGCTGAGGATCTTCTCACCCTGCTCTTGTTCTCTGCTTCCATCTGAGGCAGCCTCCTCCTCCTCCTCCTCCTCCTCCTCCTCCTCACAAACGCCGTCATCCATGGTGGTTTTAAAAGGTGCAGCCTCACAGCCGAGGATCTTCTCACCCTGCTCTTGTTCTCTGCTTCCATCTGAGGCAGCCTCCTCCTCCTCCTCCTCCTCCTCCTCCTCCTCACAAACGCCGTCATCCATGGTGGTTTTAAAAGGTGCAGCCTCACAGCCGAGGATCTTCTCACCCTGCTCTTGTTCTCTGCTTCCATCTGAGGCAGCCTCCTCCTCCTCCTCCTCCTCCTCCTCACAAACGCCGTCATCCATGGTGGTTTTAAAAGGTGCAGCCTCACAGCCGAGGATCTTCTCACCCTGCTCTTGTTCTCTGCTTCCATCTGAGGCAGCCTTCTCCTGCTCGGTGAGGGACGGAGCAGCAGTGGTGGTGTGTGTCTGGAGGGCCACGCCGTGATGCTGAGCTGTCATGGGGTTTGAATCAACAGCACCGACATCCTCGTGCGTTGGGAGGAGGCGGGGATCATGCTCACTTCCTTTCACATCTGTGGGAATGATCGCAGCTGCTTCTGGAGCAGTGGGAAGTGTTTCTGCCACACAGACATCAGCGTCTTCACTCACCATCACAGCCTCGTCCTTCATCACGAGGCCTTTAGCTGCGTTCACAGCATCTCTGGTGGGAGGAGATGGGGCTTCTTCCTGAAGAGCAGCGCTACCTTGGTTGTCCTCCTGCTGTGGGACGTATGTTGTAACTTCATCTCTGCCAGGTTTCAGGTCAGTAACATCGTCTTCACTCACCACTCTCTCCTCTTCTTGTTCAGTCGTCATCTTGGCTGCAGAAATCTTCACGTCCTCCACAACCAGGATCACACCCTGACTCATTCCCTGTCTCTGTTCTCCTTCAGAAGGTTGAGGCGTGCAGCTGATGTCGTCTTGTGTAGCAGCAACGATGTCCCTGCTCTCTTCTGTGACAGGCTCGGAGGCCGGCACATCGTCCGTTTCTTCCTTCTTGACTTCTTTTACTTGGATATCTAAATATTCCTCTTCCCTCCCGTCTTGGGCTCCAACAGTGATGGACAGGTCCTCTTTCCAGACTTCTTCTTTAACAGACTTCCCCTCTGGGACTTCATCTGGAGTCTTATGTTCAGAGGGACCGAGCTCTTCCACCTCCATCCTCTTCTCATCTTTGAAGGACTTGTCAGTAAAATCTTCTCGTTTAATTTCTATCTCCTCCGAGAGATCTCCTTGTGCTGCTACCTTGGTTTTGTGTTCATCTGCTACATTAGAGTCAGGAGTCACCGTTCCTACTTTCTGTGTGTGCGGTGTCTTCTGGGTCCCTCCTTGTTCCGTGTCTTTGTCTTCATCCTCAGGGCTTCCACCTACAGTGTCCTCAGCAGGGCGGTCTCCAGCAGTGCTTCGTTCCGCTGTGGTGAGCTCAGAGGTCGGAACGTTTACCTGAATCTTGATCGGTTTGAGATCTAAAGCATCATCTGGTTCTTCCTTCTGCTCTTCACTGACGCTTCTGATTGCAGAAACCTCTTCATCGCCCAGGAAACCACTCTTCCTCTTTGGAGACAAGAGTTTATTAGAAGTGATGTCTGAGCCTGGCTGAGATGCTGGAGGGGGATCCGCCCCTACCTGGACAGGTCGAGATGAAGAAGAAGCAGGAATTGTTTCTTTCTCTTCCTCTTCTGCTTTTTCTTGTTCTTCCACTTTGTTTATATCAGCAGATTTGACAGTTGCTGCTTCAGATGGACGTTCTTCCTTGAGACCAGTATCTCTCTGTCTGGTCGGGTCCTCCCTTATGGAGACTTCATCCGGGAGGACACCCTTGGCCCTGCCTTCCAGTGGAGACTGATGAAGAGGAGAATGTGCTGCACTCGAATGTCCGGAGTGTGGAGGAGATGCCATTTTCACTGTGATGTCATCTGGACTGAAGCAACGCTCCTCACTCTCAGATGTCACTGAGTCAGAGCCAAACGCTCTGGTAGGAACTACAGAGGAAGCATCTTTCAGAACGAGGACATCCGTGCTTTCCTCTTCCACTGTGAGGTGGACGGCTTCCATGTCACGCTGAGCTTTTTCAGGAGAACCAGCGCCTGAAAGCGTTTCAGCCTCTTCGCTTGGTTGGATTTTGGACAAAGCAATGCCTCCTTGAAGATGTTCCAGTGAAACGCCCACACTAGGAGTTTGTTCTTCATCCTCCTCTTCTGCAGCAGCAACCTCAGCGATAGGCCTTTCCTCTGTAACAGCAATCTGCAGCCCAGCAGACGGAGACATAGAGAGTTTATCCTCGTCGAGAGAAGGTGGTGAGAGACTTCCTGTGGAGGGCAGCTGCTCGTTGCCTCGGCTGCACGGAGGACCTGCAGCTTTAGGTGCATCTTCAGCTGCAGGTGCCAGCACAGACGTCACAGACTGATCATCTCCAGCAGACGTAGGGAAGGAGGAAACCTTGTCATACTCTGTGACGGATGTAGCTGAAGACATGTGTTCTTCTTCTGCCAGAGGAGCGGTGATGATGTTGGTGAAAACCGACACTTGTTCCTGCTCTCCTGGGATGAATCTTTTCTCAGCAGCTGCTTGCATCTCCTTCATGCCATGGATGTTCACAAAAGAGCCTGTGTGATCGGGAACAGAGATGTCGTAGTCAACAACATCATCCTGAAGGTTTGGGATCCTGTCCTCCGCCTCCTCATGAATCTCCTCGTCAGAGATGGTTTGCTCCGTCTCGGAGTAGCCGGGAATCATCTCTTCCTGAATGTAGGTGGCAGGCCTAGCACTAGCAGCTCCTTGACCTCCAGATCCTATGGGAGCAGCAGCCCTGCCCATGTGTGGTAGGTAACCCTCCTCATCCTCCTCTTCTTCAGCTTTGGCTGCAGACCATTCCCTAGGTTTGTCCTCAGCTGCATCTTCAGCAGCAATGTGTAGCTCTTCGTCTGCTATTACGTCCAAGTCTTCCACCTCTTCAAGTTCAGCTTTCTCCATCCCCTCCTCCTCTTCTTCATCCTTCTCTCCCTGGATCAGAGGCATTTGGAGCTTCAGCTCAGCCACATACTTAGAAGACAGAATTTCAGACTTCTCCATTTCTTCCATCTCATGTTTTCTACCAAACCCATCCTCCTCCTTCCACTTTGACTCATCTTCGTCTGCACCTATTCCCATGTCTTCCTCCTCCTCTTCCTCCTTCACCAGTACTTTCCTTTCTGCAGCTGGGACCTCTTCTTTCTCATCCTCATCCTGAGATGCAGCTCCCTCATCCTCAAACATCTGAGCCTCCTCCATTTCTTCCTCTTGAGGTGTCTTCTCACCGTTGGCTTCAGTTCCAGCTCCCACACCCAGAGCGGCCGATTCACTGGGAGACTTTGTTCCCGGTGGGATTTCTGAAACGGTTTCCTTGTCGTGGACTGGGCCGTGCGCTGTTGGCTCAGGACAAACGCTGTCCCGTGGCTCAGCACAGAGCTCATCTGGCTTTAGTGGTTCAAAGTCCTTGGAGAGGTCTTTAGCTGTGGAGAACGCAGATGTGACCTCAGCTGCTTTGTCCTCGGCAGGCTCGCGTTGGGTCTGGTCTTCAGCAGGCTTGGCCTTTGCTGCTTTGCTCTTACTTGATGTCTTAGCTTTATGTAAAGTCTTCCTCACCTCAGGTGTGAGTGGCTTTAGGTCAGGCTTTGTCATCTTTCTCAGCTCCGGCTTGGTCGCGTCCTTCCTCTTGTCCTCTTTGGACTTGGCATCTTTCTTCTCTTTTTTGACAGAATCGTCTTTCTTGACTTTCTTTATCTCTTTCTTCTCTTTGTCTTTTTTCTCATCCATCTTTGACATCCTCTCCTTGGAATGTTTCTTTAATGACTTTTCTTTTAAAAGCTTCTTCTTTTCTGGCATGTCGGTCTTTGATTTCATCGTCTTGGCTGGCATTGTGTCTTTTTTCTCTGAAACGTTTTCCTTCACCGAGTCGCTCTTCGTCTCTGTGATGTTTGATGCATCATCCTGTCCTTCGGCTTCTCTCTTTGAGGCCTTTGCAGTGGTCTTGGGGGAGAATTTGAGGCTCTCTTTGCTCTCGGCCCTTTGCTTTAACTTGGTTTGTTTGATTACAGATGGAGGAACTCCTGACGACAGGTCTTTTTGTGTTGCTACGGGGTGGCGGAGGAAGTCAAGGTGCTTGAGTTTGTCCAGACCCTCTAAGATCTTGTTCTGTGGAGCGTTCCCGGGGAACAGCACTCTGACTATCTTTTCTGTGGGGTTGGCGGGGAGCCAGACCACTAAGGCTGTAACTGATGTCAGGTAGGGTACGGATATTTCTCCTTCCTTCCCATTGGGCAGCACAATGCCAGTTCTGGCCTTGCTGTTTCCAGCCCACTTCTGCATCAGAAACTGCATTTCTTTGCTGTCCTTCACAGGGTTGAGAACATACATATCTAACCTTCCCACTCCCATCTTCTGGAAAAGGGTAATCGGCTCCGCTATGCTGCTGCCCACTCGAGACAGAGGCTCTGGTTTGATTCCCAGCTTGTTGAGGTGCTGCAGAGTGATCGAGGCCTCTTCAATGCTGCGTTTCACTTTCAGATTCGATTCTGGCATGCGGAGCTTCTCTGGCACGTTGAAGAAAACCACACCTAGCTCAGGAGAGATCAGGTTCTTCGTCCAGTCGCTGTAGTTGGTGGAGCCTTGGGATTGCTCCTCTTCTTGTTCTGCTATCTTCCTCTGGAGAAGCCCGTTGATCCCTGGAAGGTTGTCGGCTCCAATGTGTGTCAGCAAAATGGAATCGATGCGGTCCAAGTGTCGGACTAGCTTCCAGAAGCAGGACTTGCGTTCAGATCCCCCGTCCACTAAGATGTTGAAGCCGTTGACGGCAAACAGCGCAGAGTCTCCTCGTCCACTGGGGAAGATGTAGCAACACGGCTTTGACAGCTTCAGAAAGCCTCCAGACGTGGGAGGCTCCAGGAGGTCAAAGGGAGAAGGGATGTCCACAGTTTCAGAGACGTACTCTGTGAACTCTGTGATGCCCTCCATCTTGAGGAGAACAGGCTCTGGGTTTAGCTTGTATTCCAAGAACTCCCTCAGGGTATGCTGCTGTCCCGGAAAGCTCCAGCCCAGCTCCCCCTGGCAGGACACGGTCAGTGTTGCCTGCTGCTTGGGAGCGGATGTTCCTAGTAGGTCTCTCACCTGCAGACACACAACAGAAGGAGTCATGACACAGATGTTTGTGTAGTGGTGCTCTTCAGGAGGTGATCTAACAGTTGGGACATAAATATTCTCCTTTGAGCATTTCCTCTTGGTTCTTACAGCCTTCGATGACTTTTACTTTTATGTAGTAAATTTTCTACTTGTATTTGTACGCAGCATCACTGCCACCAGCTGTAAGCTGTGGCTGGTTACTATAAACACATCACTGGTACATCATCTCCACACTGCTTGTGAAGAGATCAGGAAGCACGGCTGTGCTGATTTTGGTAGCAGAGTTACAGAAAGTTTATGTTCCATTATTTCTTGATCATTAATCCTGGAAGCATTCTCACACTCAGACACACCCACGCATTCTTGTTCTTCACACACACACACACACACACACACACACACACACACACACACACACACACACACACACACACACACACACACACACACACACACACCGTCCCTCTCACGCCTTATCTTTTGTTGTTTGTTTAAATAAACTCTGAGAGCAGAAACTCTGGGCAGTTACCTATGAGCTTCTGCCCCTGATTGTAATTTGGTGACTTGTCTGCTTATTGTCTCTCCTCTCTCTCTCTCTAGCTGCAGGTGTTGGGTTATTGATAAAATCCCTGATAAGCATTAAACTCCAGATTTGGTCTAAAAGAAGCTCGGCACAGAACTGGAAACATCATTCTGTCTTATTCAAGTTCGCTGCATTTGTCCGTTAGGCATAGGCGTCATTTTAACCGGGGACGCCGGGGACATGTCCCCGGCAAAATTAGTGATTGGCAGCTGTGTCCCCTCCACTTTCAAAAAAGCCTGCTGATGAGGATTTTTGTTTTACCAGCTCAGATCTTATACCAGGGATCGGCAACCTGTTCCCATCAAAGAGCCATTATTACCCGTTTCCCACAGTAATGAAAACACTGGGAGCCACAGCAGCGCAGCGTTGTGGGCGGGGCCTACCCTCAGGCAGTAGAGAGCCGCGGTCTCACACCCAGGTGACAGCAGCCGGTACCATGGGCGTCGCACCCGTGGGGGATTCAACACCCACACTTTTCCAGCTGTTTTGCTCACCTCCACACCAGTCTGGTTTCTTTACGTTGCACTCACTCTGTTTGCCTCATCTCCTTCTTCACCTCCGCTTCTGACAGCCGATGTCGGGTTTCCAGGAGAGCAGGAGAGGGAGGGACGGAAGAGCTCGACTGAATTCATAATTTTACATCTTGACATTAGCTGTACAAAGTCTGAGTTTGATCAAGTGAAGAACAACAATTTGCAGAGGTTTATAACAGGCACAGCGCCAGGTTTTCATTTTTGGGTGGGCCACGGTAATTTTGGACGGACCTTAATAAGCAGTGACTTAAGTGAAGCAGGCAGGTCGCGCTAGAAAATTTCGTTTAAAAAGACGTCATAAATGTGTTCCCCCGTCATTTTTATTTATAAAATATGAAGTAAAAACTCACAATTTAATTTTCATTCATTTGTCATTAATATGTAGTCTACACCCGTGCGTTAAGTGGACCATCTTCCAGTAAAAGAAAAGCATCCGGCCCACCTCTCCAAATGCGTAAAATGTGCATCACAGCCACTAGGCGCACCGCGCGCACCGTCAGCTGTCAGCCCAGACAAGAGCAGAGCAAATAGAGACAGAATAGAGGATAATTGTGTCTGGATGTGGATGGAGATTACATTTTACAGCAGCCTGGTCATCATTTAAATACGTATACCATCACCTGTGTTCTAGTCCACACTATCAGCATTATGTTAATTGGTGTGTGTGTGTGTGTGTGTGTGTTTTCCACTTCAAACACTGGTCTAACCAACCAGACCAGCGTGTCCAGTAACATATTAATGTTACAATTAAACAGTTTCACTTCATGTAGGCTAGGAGCATTTCACCTGCCGTGGCCCGACCGCTTCTGCTCCACATAAACTTTGTGCGTGACCAAATGTCTCTACAGGTGCTTTCTGAGCTGAAGAGGCGACTGGATGCGTCATGCGTCTCCATATTAGAGACGGGAACAAGCGCTATTCAGCCAAACTTTCATAATTTCATAAAAATAACATTTTTCCAAGTGACACATCCCTCAGAGAGACCGGGTTTCCAGACCGCTTCAGTGGGAGGAAATCAACCAACATCCTTGAGTTTATCCGTCAAAATAAACAGTCAAATGGAAATATCTGTAACCTGCCATTTAACTGTTTTGCCTTCTTGTGAAGATTGTTGCAAAGAGAAACAACTAAACTTGATTAACCCCAGAGCCACACGCACTGCGCTGTAGTCCGTGACTGTAAATGAGGGGGAAACGATTTAATCGGATCCTTTTCTTTTCAACATGGTTTAATGTAATTTCATTCAGTACAAACTTTAGTTACACCAATCTAACGAGACAGAGCCTGGATTGGTATTCGGAACAGTTTAAACATGTTTAAAACGGAGACGTGCGTGACGCGTCTAAAATTCGCACCTGCTCCGCTATTATGGAAATTAAACTAACAAGGTGAATAACATGAAATTATTTTAGGCACAGACAACATCTCCCACACTTTTGAAAATCTTGCAATGCGCCTGGTCGCTCGTGTACGTCAAAGTTATCTTTCATAAAAAGATAATCAATAAAACGATTAAATAAAGTGGATCCAGAAGCTGTAGCCCGTCTCTGCCTTCAATATTCACCCTGTTGGTGGTTTTACTGAGCAGGTGCCACTTTTGTCATACGTTTCTTTTTAAAACATGTTTAGACTGTTCAGAATACAAATCCAGGCTCTGTCACGTTTGATTGTTGTAATTAAACTTTGTAGGTGGGGAAGGTCAGAAAGCAGCTCAGAAGCGCATGATTACGCACAAGCGTGACGCGTCAACCCGGTCTCACAGTAAGACTGGGTTGGACCTGTTCAGGTTTACGCAGAAAATCTTTACATTTAGAATTGGCATACAGATGTAAAATTAATGCAGTAAAATATAAAGCATTTTATTTAAATATCCATTCATTATTTTACAAGCACAGAGAGCCGCATGCGGCTCCAGAGCCGCGGGTTGCCGACCCCTGTGCTAGCCTACTTTATTGTCCCCAGCAAATTTTAAACCCCACTCAAGTGTATGGCTATTGTCCCCCAGCAATTCTGAAAACAAACTGACGCCCTTGCCGTTAGGTACTTCATTTGCAGAGACGGTACCAGCAGAAGAACAATAAGAGCCTAAACAAACCACATACAATCCATTCACAGGAGCCCGAACCACAGTCAGCTAGACGGTGGTTTACGATTTAACGGTGAATTAAGGAGGAGAGGAGGTCCTTTTGCTTTTAGCGGGAGGGCCCTGAACCGACAGCTTGATGGTAACATGTAGAGCACGTCTGTGGAGCCGTTCCTCAGAGTCCTAGTGTTGTAGATCAGTATTCTCCAACCCTGGTCCTCAGAGCTCACTGTCCTGCATGTTTTCCATGTTGCCCTTATTGAATTGAATTCTTTATTGCCATTATGCATACACATAACAAAATTTGGTTGGTAGCTCTCAACTTAAAGGGCACTAAGACCACAAATGGAACAATAAAAACATGAAGAGTAAAACAAAAAAAGAACAACACATAATCTTCCCTTTAGGGAGCCATACACACACTAGTAAAAATGAGTAAAAAAAGCTGAATAATTTCAAAGATATAAAAGATAAATGTTGCACTGACTGACATGCTGACCGACATGTTGATTGATATCATTGCACTACTTATTGCACATAGATGATTCAAGTGTGAACAGGACAAAAGCAGCATGAAAAAACAGGATCATTGTAAATTACAACCAACTCATCATTAAATGTCTAAGTCTCATGGGTCTTTGGTTGGGAGTGTAGGTATCTGCAGGGTCACAGAGGTGGGTGGGTGTGTGTGTGTGTGGGTGGGGGTGGGGGTGGGGGGCAGATGGCTTTAATGGCTCTAGGGAAGAAGCTGTTCCTCAGCCTGGTGGTTGTGGCCTTGATATTCCTGTAACGTTTCCTGGATGGTAGCGGCATAAACAGTTTGTGACCTGGATGGAAGGAATCAGCAGCGATACGGTTAGCCTTCCTTTGTAGTTGAATAGTATATACTGTGTCCAGATCTGGTAGTGGGCTCCCCACGATCCACTGAGCAGTTTTCACCACCCTGGCCAGGTCTTTTTTGTTCTGGACGGTACAGCTACCATACCACACCGTCATACTGAGTGATAGGATGCTCTCAATCATGGCTCTGTAGAAGTTCTTTAGCAGTTGGGGGGAGAGACGGCTCCCTTCAGTTTCCTAAGGAAGAAGAGTCTTTGTTGGGCCTTCTTTACCAGAAAGGAAGTGTTCAGTGACCAAGTTGGAGCTGAGGTGATGTGGATGCCCAGGAATTTGATGTTGTCTACACGCTCTACTAGTTCCCCCCAAATGAGTTGAGGTGGGTGCTCTGTCCTGTTGGACCTCCTGAAGTCCACTGTGACCTCCTTGGCCTTACTGGTGTTGAGCACCAGGTTGTTCAAAGAACACCACTGAGTGAGGTGCTGTATCTCCTCTTTGTAGAGGCTCATCGTTGTTTGTTATGAGACCCACTATGGTGGTGTCATCTGCAAACTTCAAAACCATGTTTGTGGAGGTTGTGCAGTATTGGGTAAATAATGTGAAGAGAGCTGGACTGAGCCCTGTGGTGTCCCTGTGTTTAGAATCATGGTGGATGATGTTTGGTCTCCTATTCTCACCACCTGAGGCCGATTAGTGAGAAAGTCCCTGATCCAGAGGCACATTGAAGCAGAGAGTCCCAGGTTATAGAGTTTCACTATCAGCTTGTCTGGGATGATGGTGTTGAAAGCTGAGCTGAAGTCAATGAATAGCTTCCTAACATAAGCATTATGATGCTGCAGATGTGTCAGAGTGGTGTGTAGTGCAATAGAGACAGCGTCCTCAGTTGACCGGTTCCCCTTGTAGGCAAACTGGTATCTGTCCATACCAGTAGGAAGGCTGTCCTGGATGTTTTTAAGGAGGATCCTTTCAAAGCACTTCATGATGATAGGGGTCAGTGCGACTGGGCGGTAATCATTCAGGCTGGTTACAGCTGATTGTTTTGGCACAGGCACAATGATGGAGGACTTAAGGCAGACAGGAATAGTAGAGAGCTGCAGGGATAGATTAAAAATGTCTGTGAAGACCCCTTCCAGCTGTTCAGCACATGCCCTCAGGGTCCTCCCTGACACCATGTCTGGTCCTGTGGCTTTGTTGATTTTAATTCTCTTCAGGGAAGAAGTGACCTGATCGAGCTGAAGGATCAGGGGCTGCTGCTGCTCCTCCAGTTTAATGGGAGCTGCAGCAACTCTGTCACTAATGTTGTCAAATCTGGAGAAGAAGCTATTCAGGGTGTCAGGAAGAGAACAATCCTCCCTGATCTGCTGGCTGGCGCTCCTGTAGTCCGCCATGGTTGTCAGTCCCCTCCACATGTTCTGCAGATCGTAGTTCTTAAAGTACTCCTCAATGTGTTGCCTGTATCTGGATTTAGCCAACCGTATTCCTTTTTTCAAGTCTCTCCGGGCATTGCTGTATGCCAGCCTGTCACCAGCCCTGTATGCAGCATCTTGGGCTTTGAGTAGGGAGCGCACAGGACTGTCCATCCATGGCTTCTGATTAGGAACATTTTTAATAAATTTTGTGAGTAGAACGGCGTCAGTGCAAAATTTGTACACCAGGATTTCCCTGCTGTCATGCACCTGACCTAAATGAATGGGTGATTAACAGACATCTGCAGCACTTAATGTCCTCCTGAGGAGCTGATGTAAATCAGGTGTGCTGAAGCAGAGACATGGACCACACTCAGGTCGCTGCCCTGAGGACCAGGGTTGGGGAAAACTGCTGTAGATGATGGTGAGACTGAGCTAAACCAGGCAGTGATGCTTAATGGATTCACTGAAACATCATTAAAAACCAACAAGAACTGATTGGTGAACCTGAAGGTTGTGGAGCTGTTGACATTTATCAAAACGGATGGACTGTTAGTGAAAATCTGTGGTAGTTATGGTGTGTAGTTAGTCAGCATGTAAGAGGGTTTATCAGACCATCACTCACCTCAGGATCAGTGAAGGTCTGGGAAAAGTTCTGGGAGGTAAAAACTCCAGTCTGAAGTAGAAGGCCACCGTGATTGGAGCTTGGGCCACTTAAGACCAGAAGCTTGTGTCCTGCAGAGTCTGTGACAAGAGACTGGATCTGAAACACAAGGACAGGAGGACAGAAAGTGAAAGAGGACAGTCAAGATTTAAAGGGACAAAAGTGCAAGTATCAACGAGTCAGACTCAGTAGGACAGCCGTTATTTGTGAAACAGAACATTTTAAACCCATGTGGTCAGGAACTATTGTCAGACGTCTCTAGCTGCAGAACGGACATCAGCAAAACAATTCTGACTTTTACTTAAAGTCTCTTCCTGGAGTATTTCTCTTATCCGATGACACCATCTAGTGGCTGACAAGCATATCACACTCCTTCCGTTTTTTAAGATGGCAACCACGTTTATTTATGCGCTTCTGTAGCCGACAAACAGCTAAAACGCATTTTATAAATATTATTCTCATGTCATGTTGTGTTCTGAGGTATTCCTTAAATCTGAAGCTTGTACGTGGTAGTCTAACGCTATTGGTTAGTTCTGGTCGGTGCTCAGTTTCCTATTGCTCAGAACTCTGCGGGGCAGGGGGTGCTCAGCAAAAACAGACGTATCGCTTACATTATATCACAGTACATGATGAGATCATCACTTTTATGGATTTCTGAAAAATCATGCATCATTTCTGAAAGGGGAAAACTCCGGAGAGAGACTTTAAAGATATTGACCAGAGGCTAAATTTGTTTATACGGCATGTGTAAATGTGTATTAAAACCTCAGACGAAAAAGGTTTGGGAATTTTGACGGCAGGAATTGTAAGAAAATCTGATGTTTTTGACCGGCGCAGGAAAAACAGAAACTAACTTCTGGTCTAAGCCCTGGGCAGCTGGTGACATTTCACAAGGAGCTCTGCTGAAACTGCTGTAGTAAACAACGCCTATCTCCGGTGTTTCTGTGTTAGCGTTATAGCAGAGAACATGTGCCATCAGTCAGATGTAGCTACTGAAGCCTCTACTAGTCAGTCAGATTTGTTTTTTCTCTGGGATACGGCGACAAGAACGGATATTGGATTACCGGAGAAGTTCAACCGAACTCCAACCCCGCTAGCTGGATATCACTACCAGAGGTGCAGACATGTTTTAGACCATTTGACTCAGAAGACCTGCGACCCGATTTGGACATAGAGGAGGATTCTATTCATCTTCAGAACCAAAATTGGTACAGTTTGTTTACGTTTCTTAAAAATTTCATTTCTGTGCTCCACTGGGAGCTCTAGGCTGATGAGTTCTCAGCTGGTCTTAGCTCCATATGTGTCCCAATATAGTTCAGTAATCTACAGTTTTATTGCTGTGTGTATTACTCTGGAAAATATTTAACCGATAATTTACCAGAATAAATCTTCCTGATGCTGGAGTAACTCCTTAGCTCATCTCATTGTTTACACTAATCCAGGATGTCACTGAGGTTCTACCGGTCCACGGAGGATCTAAAGTTGAAATATAGAGATCATCTTTTAGATTATGTCTGTGTGTGTGTGTGTGTGTGTGTGTGTGTGTGTGTGTGTGGTAGCTTTCCCAAAGGACTTCTTTCCTTACCGGAGCTAACACAGTTAGCAGTGTTGCTGCATGCTAACGGGACTCTGGAGTCCAGAAGTAGCGGTGTGGCTCCAGATGGATTTATAGATGTAGGTTATTATTTTGGATCAGACCTGTTATTTAAAAATGCGTGTAGAGCACAGACATATGGCTCAGACCTATTGCTGCAGCTATAAACACAATTTTCCGTAATAATTGGGGCATGAAAGTAAACAAATAACAGTTATTCACAAAACTAGCAACAGCAGCTACCTCGTTTTACGTGCTGGAGTGACGCATCAGGAACACAGTTCTTCACTGTCTGGAGGAGAGGATTTGGATTTTCTGTAATGATTTATGACAAAAGTTCTGAACTAAATAAAAAACTGAACCCAGTACGTTTATATAGATGGTAAAATGTAGTTATTCTGCATTTCTATAATTTTAATGCCGAGTCTGGCCAATACCTTTAAGCGTCAGCTCGAGTGCAAGGTTTCTGATGGCACACTAATTCAACCAAGCATGTAAAATGTGTGAGGGTCAGAGTGGTGTTTCAGTGAGTTCAGATGGCGCAGAAACGTCCAGGCAGCCTGCCTCGGAAAATAATACCGGAAACTCTGTGTGAATATTTTCCTATTTATATTTGAAAGCAATTTTTACCTTCAGTTTTCCTCCTTGCGTGGAGTAAAACAAGAACATGTTTTACAGAAAGCACCAAAAATAAACAAATTGCCTCACAAGCACATCAAAAATTATGGGAGAAAAAATTTGTTTTCAATATTTTTCTTGGCATGACTATATGTTATATATTGTATAAGTTATATTATTATATATTATATAAGAATATATATTATTCTATGTTATGAATAATGCGTTGGATCTTGATTTGAAGAAAATTGTGAATTGAACTGAAATCGCAATTTCTCCTAGAAAAATCGCAATTCAATCATCTCCTGAAATCATTCAGCCCTCCAGTGTGACGTAGATCTGTCAGGCTTTTCTAATCCTGGAGTTTCACCAAATATTTTCTATCAGACGCTACTACAGGGTTATAAGGATATAGTAGTTCTAATAGTCCCCTCCCCGGGCTGCCATCTTACCGTGGTGGAGGGGTTTGAGTGTCCCAATGATCCTAGGAGCTAACTTGTCTGAGGCTTGATGCCTCAGGTAGGTGAGGGATCAGACAAAGAGCAGCCCAAAGACCTGTTATGAAGAAAAATATATATGGAAACAGTGTTCCCTCGCCCAGACGGGGGGTCACAAATGCACCCCTCTGGAGCCAGGCTTGGAGGTGGGGCGTGTCAGCGAGCGCCTGGTGATCGGCATAGCCAGAAGAGTAAATGTCTGTCTCCTTTCCCATGGGCTCACCACTCGTGGGGTCATTTGCAGTGTGTGACGGGTGGTAGTTGAGGGCAGTGACCTTGGCGGTCTGATCCTCGGCTGCTCTTGGCACGTGGAATGTCACCTCTCTGGTTGGGAAGGAGCCTGAGTTGGTGTGTCAGGTTGAGAGGATCCGACTAGATATAGTCGTACTCACCTCAACGCATGACTCTGGCTCCAGAACCAGTTTCCTTGAGAGGGGTTGGACTTTCTACCACTCTGGAGTTACCCCCACTGAGAGGTGCTGAGCAGGGGTGGGCATACTAGTTTCCCCCCATCTTGGTGCCTGTACGTTGGGGTTTACTCCAGTGAACGAGAGGGTTGCCCCCCTCCGCCTACATGTGAGGGGATGGTTCCTGACTGTAGTTTGGTGCATAAGCACAAACCACAGTCAGGAACCACAGGGTGTGTTACAACTACAGGGGGATCACACTCTTGAGCCTCCCTTGTAAGGTCTGTTCAGGAGTTCTGGAAGAAGAAAGTCCATCGGAGTGTCCAACCTCGGATTCAGGAGGAGCAATGTAGTTTTTGTACTGGCTGTTGAACACTGGCCTGGCTCTATACCCTTAGGAGGGTCCTGGAGGGTGCGTGGGAGTTTGTTCAACCAATCTACATGTGTTTTGTGGATTTGGAAATGGCATTTGACTGGGGCCCTTTGGGGGCCACCACCGCAGACTCCAGAGAACATCCCAGCACAGGGCTAGACCTTTGTACCAGTTTGTCAATCCTGCTTCCGTCCCTGTCTGTACATCCGCTCCCCCAGCAGGTCACTGCATAGAAAAGGGCAGATGCCACCACCAAATCACAAAAAGTCCTTAACAGAGTCCTGCATATTACGAAGGACCTCAGTCTCCTCAGTAGGTGGAGTTGACTTTGGCTCTTCTTATATATGGCATCTGTAATTGTGAGCTAATTGAGTTTATTGTTGAAGTGAACACCCAGGTACTGAGGTAGTGTAAAAGTTCACTATCTCAGTGACTTTTCCCTGGATGTTCACCATTTGTTGTAGTGGGTGACTTCCTGCTACAGCTATGACCATCTCCTTCATCTTGCTGGCATTGATTTGGGGAGTGTTAGCCTCACACCATCTTACAAAGTCACGGATGACCCCCCCCCCCCCCACCCCCCCCCACCCCCCACCCCCCCCCATATTCCTGATCATTACCATCTGATGCACATTCAATGATGGTTGTTTTTTTCGAGAAGTGTACAGACTGAACAGAGAGAACTGTGCCCTGCGGTGCCCCTGTGCTTCAGATTACTATGTCAGATACGAAGTCATGGAGTCTCACATACTATGGTCTGTTGATTAGGTAATCCATGCGGTTAGCTGTTTGCCCACACCAGCTCCCTCCAGCTTCCCTCTCAGTAGTGTAGGGTAGTTAGTTGGTGTTGAAAGCACTGGAGAAGTAAAACAATATGACCTTCACAGAGCTCCAGGTGAGAGAGGGATCAGTGCAACAGGTATCCACCCCGATTCCAGGCCGATAGATGAAATGCAGGGGGTTTGGTGCTGAGCTAACCAGTGAGTGAAGGTGGTGCTTTATGAGCCTTTCCAGGGCCTTTATCGGGTCAGAAGTCAAGGCTACGTGTCTAAAGTACTCGGGCTCCTTGGGATGCGTGATTTTTGGCACTGGAACCACGCAGGAAGTCTTCCACAGTTCCACAATAAATTCAGCCAGATTATTTTATAAACCCAAACACCACATTATTTTCCAAGACACTTCATTAGACTTAATAACCCTTTGGTTATTAAGCCGTTTGGGCGCCAGAGTTTTTTCAAGAAAACATTCAATTCTGACACGACTATTTCAAAAGGTTGTTGCTTGAAAATGGTCAGAGATAAAGGTAAACTGTGAATGAGAAAAATCTTCAGTAGGACCCAACGTTTGTGTTGGGCGCAATTTATAATTTAAATACCTATAAAGTTCTTTTGAAACATTGTTTAATATTTTATATTATTATATTTATATTAATTGTCACCATTAGTAATGTTTTTACTATCCTTTTTACACCCACAGTGTCCCAAACACGGTGAAATGTGCGTTAGATCATGTTTGTGCAGCTTGTAGACTCTCATGAAGCACGCTCTGCTGCTGCGCACAGCTGGAACATCACTTTCTTTCCCATAACCAATCACAGGGTGTCTAATCCTCTTCAGAATCAGAGTTACCAGTCAAAGAACATTGTCAACAAAGAACAGACCAGTCAGCTTCACAAGTATTTCCTCTATAATGGCCCTCTGTGTGCTCCGCTCGTCTCCTCCTGTCCTCCACCGGGACCCTCCCAACGGGAGGTGATTCCCAAGCTCTAGAAACTCCAGAATTTTAAAGTGAAACACACCTAAAGTGTTGCTCAGATTACACATCTCCATCTATCTTCTGGTGTAAAGTCATAACTTCACAGGTGATCATATTTACTGGCGTGGCTCGTTAAACCCAGCAAAGATGGTTGCTGCAATGTTTAGCATCTTAGATTATCTTTCTTTAAAGTTTGATTACGGTCTCAGCTGATATTACCTTAAATAATCATTCTGAATCATTTATTCTAAATCATCATTAGTCATTGAAATAAACAGATTTTTATAAACTGGACTTTTGCCTCTGTGTCAAATTATTGATGAGTGTTGTTTCCCTGGCGTACTCAAAGTACCCCGTTTCATCATCTATCGAATATTAAAGGTTGGGTAATATTGATAATCCTTAATTTTATTAAAAATTACATTTTACTGAATACTTTTATATTTTATTGATAATTTATTAAAAGTAACCACTTACAAAATGTTACATGATGCATCATTTCTAAGAACTGTGAGTGACTCATGTAACGTAGACAAGACCTGCTTCATCGGTGTCAGGACACCCATGACCAAGAGGAGGTGATAACGACTTATCAGGGCTACAACTCCTAAGGTCCAACAGGAGACAGGATTTTACTCTATTAATAAAATTATTCTTATTTTGTTCATAAAATAGTTTCCTAACTTTACAAGTTGTTTAAAATCATATTCTGTTCATCTAAAGTGTTTTAATAATGTCTTGACTGCATCAAAGTATTGAATAAATCATCATAATTGTTTATTCGGGAAATAATGCTTTATTTCAGATCTTAAATACACCAAATGAGCCTACATGTAATATTTAATAATGATTTCTTATCAGTATTACACATGTTAATATTAATTAATAAATGACTATTTAACAGATTTGGTTTGGTTTATTTCCAGCCAATATCATAACACAAACATCACAATCTTAAGCAAATATAAAAATAACAATTATGACTGAAAAGGGTTTTGACTGAAGTGAAACACTTGTCTAGAGCCAAACATTATTACTAAATACAATTTAGAGCACCAAGACACAACAATTAGCAATTAAAACAAAATTTGTATCGACTGTTTAAAAGTAAACTCACGGTTAACAAACATACACGTCACATCAGCACCCCCAGCCCCCGCCCCCAGGCTCTGGCTAGAGGGCAAGAAGCCGGCACCTCCCTGTTGACCACCGTCGTGTTTAGCTGTTAGTTTTCAATAAACGGCTAAATAATATCCATCAGCGAGGTTAACGCACGGCGCTGTAGGCTGCACAAGTAAACAAACAAGGGACGATAAAAGTAAACTTTTACAGAAGAAGAAAATATTATTTCTATAGCGCCTCTCAAGATAAAAATCACGAGGCGCTTCACAAAAACAAAAAATGTAAAAATATAAAAAAGAATTTAGAAAATGTTTAAAATATATTTAAAATGAGCAAAAATAGACAATTGTGATAAAAAAATGTTAAGAAAGAGAGAGAGTGAATAGGAAGGAGGGAAATCAGTGGATCCTGAGGAAGGTGGAATAGGTGGGGAGAGCAGAATAAAGAGAGAGTGGTGAAGAAGGTCATACAAAAGCCAGCTTGAACAAGTGAGTCTTCAGCTGCTTTTTGAAGGAGACCACTGAGTCCACTGATCTCAGGCTCAGGGGGAGAGAGGTCCAGAGTCTGGGGGCCACAGCAGCAGATGATCTGTCACCTTTGGTCTTTAGCCTGGTGCTGCACAACCAGTAGGCTTTGGTCACTGGACCTCAGGGACCTGCTGGGGGTGTAGGGACTAAGAAGATCACCAATGTAAGATGGTGCTTGTCCACGTAAGGACCTATAGACCAGAACCAGGATCTTGAAATGAACCCTGAAGTTGACTGGCAGCCAATTAATCTGGAGGAGAAGCGGGGTGATGTGGGTGTGTTTGGAGGAGTTGGTCAGAAGCCGAGCACAGGCATTCTGAACCACCTGTAGACGGTTCAGGGAGGTTCTGCTCAGACACGTGAAAAGAGAGTTGCAGTAGTCTAAGCGTGAGGTTTCCAGCTGGTAAAATACACAGAAGCAAATTCTACAATAAAAAAGTAAACATCTGCCCCACATGTGCAGACACAAACAGGTTATAGCCATCTAATGGCTCATGAGCTCTTTTACATAATTATGTACGACCGCAGGAATGAGGAGCAGAACTGAGCTACTGATCGGTTCGAGACATAAACGTGTGAAAATGAAAACATCGGTGTGGTGTGTGGTTCTGAGTGACCTGCGGTAACGGTCTAGTTACAATAATTACATAAAATGTGTTGTAATTGGCAGCCTTCAATGTCGTTTGTTTCATGTTTTTGTTTACATTACTCATCAGAATAAATAATCTGTTCATCTTCAAAGACGAGCATTGTCACGGCGATCCTTCAGCACCGACCTGCAACACGTAGAACAGAGGTGTCAAACTCCAGTCCACGAGGGCGGGTATCCTGCATTTCTGTTGTTTCCCTGTTCCAACAAAGGTGATTCACCTGTGCAGCAGCTCCACGCTCTCCAGAAGGTTGGTAATCACCTGCTGATTGAAATCAGGTGTGTTGAAACAGGAGAAACACAAAACATGTGGGAAAGCGGCACTTGAGATCTGGAGTTTGACTCCTGTGACGTAGAAGAACACCTTCATTGTCCAGGTGATGGTTCTGAGGAGGACTGTCGTCTCACAGCTCATTAGCCCTACTTCAAACAGATCTGGAAGCGTTGTGCTAAACACCGTTAGTTTGTTTATTCTTTATTCATCTGCACAAAGACGTGTTAGATGATCTTAAGTACTAATATCTAAATCCCTAGGTTTTATTTTGTTGGCTTAAATCACAGAAATACAGCTCTGGATCATGTTTGGAGGTGGGGTTCTTGCCCTCCAGGTTGTGCGGATGTGAGCAGTTACCAGGATGTAAACAAGAACTTTCAACATGATACTAATTTGAGGCCATAGTGCTCAGTTCTAATTACAGTCCATAAGAGTGTTATCCTCGCCTGACCCAGTCATTCCAGAATTTTCCTCAGTGAGGTCTCCACCTCCTCCCCTGCAGAGCTCCGTGACCTCCATTAGCTTGTCCAGAGAAGCTGCAGTCAGGTCCTTCAGCTCCAGCAGTCCCTCCTGTTTAATTAAAAAACACAACCAGGTGGAATCAGGCCAAGATCTGCAGCCTCACAGCACAAAGGAGATTCTTCAGGAAGCTGGATGGTCACCGTGTACATGAGGGTGTTAATTGTGAGCTCTGCTTGGTCCAGAAAGAGCTGCTGACGGGTCGTGTAGCAAACCGATCCAGCTTGGTTACTCACTATGTGGTGTTCCACATGTCTGGATGTCAGACGTGCACTCCTTACTGCTCTGAGAATCAAATGGTATAAAATGTAATAAATACAATTTTTTTGTGAGAAAACATCAGTCTAAGCAGAATAAAACGTTACCATTTACCACATAGACAGGAAAGTCTCTCACCCCGTCTGTCTGGCAGTTGAACATCTCCACACCCAGCTTTACTAAAGTTTCCTCCAAGAGGCTCTCACAGCTGGACCTCACCCAGGAAAACACCTGAAGAGGACTGCAACTTGGAGAGAGAAGACTGATGCTTAAATTAACTGAACTTGAATTAAAAAAACAAAAAAACATTTAAGATCACAAACCGCCCCATTCACCTTGGAATGACAGATGTCATGAGCTCCAGCTGCTCCGCTTCCGACAGAAGCTTCTGGTCTGCCATCATCACCTCAAACTAAGCATCCTTAGGCGAGAGATGTGCTGGAGCAACAGGAGGAGGTGGAGGAGAAGGAGGAGGTGCTGCAGGAGAAGGTTGTGGGTTCCTCAGCCACTCAAACATCCCACTGGCCAGAGGACAGGCCGGCACGCAGACGGCGAGCAGGAGGTGTGGGAGCTGGTAGCTCATGACTGGATCAGTACAAAAGAGAGAGGAGTAACTACTGACATGTCACTGGCTATGGAAGACAGTACTGTTGATAGAATGAGGGACATTAAGGTTTTAGGTCATAAACTTAATAATGGTATAAAAATAGCAAAGGCAGTTGCTATAGTAACTAGACTCAATGAGTCACTGAATTATAACACTTTATGTCTTATATAATAATGTGACTGTTCCATATATGGCTTATTGCATTGAAATCTGGGTAATTACATATAAACATACACTAATCCATTCATGATTTTACACAAAATGAGTAAAAACAATCATTAGTCTAGTCACGGAGCTCCAGCCGGGCATTATTGGCTGAACTACAAATATTAAAAATTGGCTTTCTGTTTGATGTCTGGGGCCTCATGTATCAGCCGTACTTAGGCACCGATCTGTACGTGTATGGTGCGTAGGACCTAATTTATTGTGTGGTATTGATCATTGACTGTCTGTGCGTGGAAATGTTCCTAAACATAAGAAAACTTCAGACCATGCATAGGAACAGCATCTAGTGGTAGAACGGGGGAACCGCAGGACCAAAGGTCTCAGTCATCCACACATGTTGCTCATCAACTAATTATTTTACCCTTAAATTCTCTACTGCATGACTTTTTGTTTTTTGGCTGAAAAAAATTTCACCTTATATTTTGGGAACTTGGCTGTCCCTGAAAATATATCCATCATAAATTTTAACCCAATCCTCAGTACCAGATTTCAGGGCAACTCTGTTTTTGTTTGGGTTCCAAAACGCCAAGGTTTTCTGCAGTGGTACATCAGTGGTTTACAAGCCACCAAACAATGCAGTTATTAGAAAACAAGTTTATTTAGATCCAGAAATGTTTCTAACCAATCAAACATGAAAAAACAAACACTTCAGTTTCATCTATGAATTAGTTACCTCCAAATGAGTGTCTACGTATGTGTGAGTGAGTGAGTGAGTGAGTGAGTGAGTGAGTGAGTGAGTGAGTGAGTGAGTGAGTGAGTGAGTGAGTGAGTGAGTGTTGGGATTAGGCATGTGTATTGGTGAAATGCCGGCGACACGATACGTATCACGATACAGGGGAGACGATACGATATATCACGACATATTGCGATACATTCAGCCAAATGATATTAGCGATTTTTTCAGACTGAATTTATTGTAGGAAAATTCAATAAACAGTCCAAACTGATACATAGCATGTTTAACCATAACGGGGGGATTTACATTTCACTGGTGGAAACAAAACTCATTGCACACTGCTGCCAACTAACAGTCGGCATTTGAATTGCACTAAAAGAAAAGAAAACACACAAATGTTTGCATGGAAATTCTTCCAAAAATTCGATACATAGCTTTTGAATATTGATGTAATATTGTACATTTTTTGTTATCAGTCATATTTCCTACTCTGTATGGACTCTCAGGAAACAGTTGCTTGTTGGCATGAAGAAAAGGTGATCATCACACTTCTGGAACTTGATTTGTGGTGTATGTATGCATTTGAGATGCACACCAAATGAGAACAGTCCGTTGTCTTTATGTCTAATTGTTTCAACTCATTTTTATCTTGTCATTTTTTTTATCTTACCTGTTTTTCTTTGATGTAAAGCTAAGTAAGCTGTGTGTCTGTTGCTGCTGCCTCCTGGCCAGATCATCGTTGGAAATGAGAATGAGTTCTCAATCGACTCATCTGGATAAATAAAGGTTGAATACAATTTAAAAATTAGGTATTTTGCATCTTCTCTTCTGTTGTGCCATGGTCCTCCAGTGTCTGAAGCATCCAGATGCACCTCCCCATTTGTGGCCACAGGTCATTCAACCCTTTTCGTCTTGTTCTCACCAGCAATTGAGTTGGAGATACTGGGGCTACCTATCTTTCTCAGATTATTTCCACATTTGTAAAGGCCTTCAGCAATGAATGTTTAAAAAGTATAAAGGCTCTTTGGTTGCTTCTTTTCACTTCCAGTACCTTTCCAATCTCCATGGAATTGTAGCCAGGCGGTCACAAAAGCAAATACAGGAAATGGAACAGGTGTTGGTACCACTTCTTTAGTGGTTGGTTTGTTACATTGCAAGAAGGGAGTCAAGCAGATCCACTCCACCTAAATACTGCAGCAGGGCAGGGGACCTTTGTGATCATCTTCTGGTTGCAACCCCACCTGTCAACCTCTGTGACAGGGAGGGCTCCAACATGGTCAGAAGGGTCATTGAATGGTTACCATTCCACTTCACAACATGCAAGGTGTTTGCTTCAAACATGACTATCTTCTCTTTAAAAGATCCATACCCTGCTCACTTTAGATACGCATCACAGGTCAAGTTGATGCCTGGCAGTCTCTTACCACAAATGGTACCTATGCTGGGAATTTCTTGCTCAGCCACCAGTTCCAGTACCAGTGAGCACCAGAGACACACTTGTAAACCAGTTATCAAAGATGAGCTTGTCGTTCCCATGCTTAGGTATAGTTTGAGCCAAGTGCAGGACAACATTGCCACTAGTGCCTACACCTGGTAGGCCTGGGGGTTGCACAGCGCTCTCTGTGTAGATTTACCAACACACTATCTGAACCAGTCATGAGGAGTATCTTGTAAGCCCATTTTCTTGGTTTTGCTGCTAGATATAGCTTCAGTCTATGCCTTTTCTTGAATGGGACCAATTGTTCATCAATGGCCAGCTTCTCACCCTTTGGGATTGAGGTCAATTTTGATGATGAATGGGAAACTCATGGTTGGATCTTGTACAGTCGATCTTCAGTTTCCTCTTCTCTTTCTTAAAATAAAGGCATTTTAGTTGGTAATTGTAAAGTACAGTAGTGTTTCAATGGCAAAGTAAAAACTAAATGAATAGAATCGTGTTGTAACAAAGCAGATATCCAAACTGTCAAAAGGTGGAAAAAGTGCCCGGACTGCATAGAGTTGCCTTGAGGCACCGTATAAAATTAAATAGTTTTAACAAATAAATAATAACAAATTGTGTCTTAAAGTGAATAAAATTGCTTTTTCACGTGTTCATGCACATGGATATATTCTTTATTTAAAGTTTTCGCAAATATAAACATGATAAAACTGACATTCAATTTACCATTCAATGGCAGTGGGAATCATGCAACTCTGCTTCAAGAAAGGACATCTCCTTGCCCGGACAAAGGGTCACATGCACATGCAAACGTCTTTTTATTGGATTTTGACATTTCTGGGGATACTTTTATTCATCCATCCATCCATTGTCTGAACCAGCTTTGTCCACGCGGGGGGTGGGGGGGTCTGGTGCCTATGTCAAGCGGTCAATGGGCAATCAGGTGGGGTATACCCTGGACAGAGAGGGCAGGGCGATACTTTTATTCATCCCACACCAAATAAAGAAATAAAGGGTGCAGTGTAAGGTCCAGATATATGGTTTGTTGACTGAGCCTAACCCAACTTTAATCCATAGAGGGTTAAAAAAATATTTCTGTGGAAAACAGCTGAGTTACATAGTTGGTGCTAAAACACCCGACGGGAATCTGACTTGGAAGAACGTTTGTCGTGTTTTTGTAATCACAATTAAAAATTTATTTTATTCTATTATTTTTTGTCCTTGTGAAACACCTCGTGATTCTGCTTGAGATGCGTTAGATAAAAGAACGTTTCCATATTATTATTGAGGATTTGTCAGAGCTCCTCTCTGGAGTAAGCGTGTTTCCATGAGCGAGCAAACAGCAGATCCGTCTGGAGCTGTGCTGGGATTTGGGATCCTTTGTGGAGCGACAGATAAACTGCACAAATCTGATTCCAGTCCATGTTTTTTTATAACTAGTAGCTAAGAGGCTGCACTCAGACATTTCCAAATAAAACTGACTCCATCCAGAATGACTCATTAAATGTAAATGAGAACCTGTTACTGTACAACTTATCATATAAAACTTTTATTTATTCCTGACAGGAACCTCTCCTTTGTCCTAACCGCATTTATAACCTCTGAAACTTGTTTGGTTCTTTTGCACTTTGGCACAAAGTGTTTTGATCTCACAAGTTATCTTTTTTCTGGGTAGAATGCAGGAATCATCTTACGTGCTGAGGACCACGACCAAATATGGTTAATTGAGAGCATTTCTGTATGTTAATGAGTTAGAACGGACACTTGCACCTGGGTATGCCCAGGTAGGATTTATCATGGGACAAGTGCCGGGGAACGTGTGTACGAGAGGCCACCGCATGTTCCATAAATCATGATTTTGCGGCCGCGTGTCTTGGACACTTGGGTGAAGCGAGGGGCGGAGCTGTCAACTGACTACTACCTGGTGGTGAGTTGGCTTCGATGGTGGGGGAAGATGCCTGTCAGACCTGGCAGGCACAAACATTTTGAAAGGATCTGCTGGGAGCATCTGGCGGAGTCTCCTGTCAGAATAAGTTTCAATTCTCACCTTAGACAGAACTTCCAAAATGTTTCGGGGGAGACGGGGGACATTGAGTCCGAGTGGGCCATGTTCCGTGCTTCCATTGTTGAGGTGGCCGACTGGAGATGCGGCCGCAGTGTTGTCAGTGCCTTTTGTGGTAGCAATCCCTGAACCTGCTGGTGGACACTGACGATTAGGGATACCATCAAACTGAAGAAAGAGTCCTATCAGGTCTTTTGGCCCATGGGACTCCAGAGGCAGTTGATGGGTACCAGCAGGCCAAGTGGAAATCGGCTCTGGTGGTCACAGAGGCAAAACACGAGCATGGGAGGAGTTCGGTGAGACCATGGAACAAGACTTCCGTACCACTTCGAGAAGAGTCTGCTCCACCATCCGGCATCTCAGGAGGGAAAAACAGTGCACTACCAACACTGTTTATAGTGGGGACGGTGTGCTGCTGACCTCGACTCAGGAAGTTGTGGATCGGTGGACTAAATACTTCGAAGACCTCCTCAATCCCACCGGCACATTTTCCAGTGAGGAAGCAGAGTCTGGGGACTTTGGGTTGGGCTCTCCAATCTCTAGTGCTGATGTCAATGAGGTTGTCAAAAAGCTCCTCTGTGGCAAGGCCCTGGGGGTGGATGAGATTCGCCCAGAGTTCCTTAAGGCTCTGGATGTTGGGCTGTGTTGGTTGATGTGGCTCTGCAATATTGCGTGGACATCGGAGGCAGTTCCACTGGACTGGCAGACCGGGGTGGTGGTTCCCTTATTTAAAAAGGGAGACTGCAGGGTGTGTTCCAACTACAAGAGGATCACACTCCTGAGCCTCCCTGGTAAAGTCTATTCAGGGGTTCTGGAGGAGGATCCAGCAGATTGTCGAACCTCGGATTCAGGAGGAACAATATGGTTTGTATCCTGGCCGAGGAACACTGGACCAGCTCTATACCCTTAGGGGTGTGCTGGAGGGTGCGTTGGAGTTTGTCCAACCAATCTACATGTGTTTAATGGATTTGGAGAAGGCGTCTGATCGCGTCCCCCGGGGGGCCCTGTGGGCTCAGAGTCTCTGCAGCTCTGAACACAGATAATGACATGTCAACAATAACATTCTCTCCTCAAGGTCCAATCTTTCAGGTCTTCATGCCTCCATATAAGGAGCACTCCATCTTGGATCAGTTGCTAAGTCAAAGACTGATTTCCTAAGTCAGATATGAACTTCTACAACTTATAGGCTAGATAATCATTAAATAAACGTTTGTTTATTGCTACTTATAATAATTATAATATAATGAAATTTTTCATTAAGCTGTGCTCAATGACTGAAGTGCGAAATGAATGTTATGTTATGTTATGATTACAGTGATTGAAATATGTTTCAGCATGTTAAAATGACAAGGTCATAACCATTTGCACTCACACAAGGACAAAATAAGGTTAAGTTAAACTCTGACACATAAATAGTCTTTTACCCCAGTCAGAGCCTCCGTATCAAAGAAGGCGTGTTTCTGAGTTGTCTTGGTAATATTTCTCAAACTTGTCAGCCCTTGGTTGGCTACACAAATCATAACATGAGATCATCAAAACTGGATCACTCTTGGGTGATCTCTCAGTTGTAGAGAAAACTTCAGACCGGCCACCTGAAGCAAAACCCTCTTTAACCATCAAAGCTTTTGGCACGTCGTCAAAACCTTTTTGCACCTGTGAAGCCGATACACAAACAGTTCCTGCAGAACAAGCTGAGAATGTTTAGACTCCTTAAAGAGTCCACCAAACGCACGGTTCCATCCGTCTGTTGTGACCTGGAGACAACTCTAAGACCGGTTTAGTGGGGCTGCAGTTTCTTCTACGGACCTCGGTGCCTGGAAGTCCGAGGACTTCGACATTCCAGATCTATCACGAGGGTCTTCGAGTGGGTACATAGACATGACAGATTGCGTCTGATGTGTTTTCATAACAACCACCTTCATAGCTTAACGCAAACCAAATTCTTTTACATCCAGAACTCAGCTCTCCGAGATAAGGAAGTTCCGACTAATACCGCATTCACACATAGGTTACTACATCACATTTAGTTCCATCCATCACAGTAAATGCTTAGTCAACTTGTCATGTTTTAATTGTTGGTAAAATAAATTCTTACTTTTATAAACCTGACTCTTTTCTGAATCAAAACGAAGTGTGTACAATTTCTTAATAAAGAAAGAATCCTAGATCTTCTGATAAACACAGCCAAGCAGAGTTGATATTCTATATTTAGATAGAGTATCACAGCTTATTGGTCATAAGTAGAGGTAATATATATTGAGCTCTTAAAGCACTCAATTTACCAAATCCTACATGTGCCACACCTGTGAGGTGGGCTGGATTATCTTGGTAAAGGAAAAGTGCTCACAATCACACATGTAGACAGATTTTGGAACAATATCTGAGAGTCATGGGTGTTTTGTGTATGTAGACAAAGTTTCAGATGTTTGAGTTCCGCTCATGAAAAATGGGAACAAAAGCAAAAGCGTTGCTTTTATATTTTTGTTCAGTGTAGATGATGTTACACAAACAGTAAATAAAGTATGAATTTGTAAATCATAGGTATTTTGGACCACTGCTCCTTCAGTTAAACTTATTGGTTAAACACGTTTATTTATTATTGATTTAACTACCGATGAGAGTGGAGCAGATTATGTGTAAGATTTACTTTTAATCTGCTCAGTTTCATTCAGGTATTTGAAATTTATATTTGTTTACTAATTTTGTTACCATTTATTTAATAAAAAAATTCATTAAAGAGACTTTACAGAGTTTTGAATTTTTAAGCTCGCGATTGCCCCCTCAGGCCAAAAGCATAACGGCAGCTTCAATAGTAGGCTCGTGCACGAGGCGCGCATGCTGTACGTGCACACTCCTTAACGAAAATAACAGCTGAGACAGCCCCGTGTATGTGTGTGTGGCCCGGAGGACAGAGGAATGGAGTACGCGCAGCTAATTAAATAATTTCGTTCTGTACCTATCTCTTCAGCACAGCCAACAAAGGTTTAAGATGGGTCAGTCCTCCTGCATGCTCTTGAAAAATTGTTCCCAAATGAAAGTTGAACCCACATCTTTTTTATCTGTGAATTCAATGCTGTTCGGCGAATCTCAAATAAAAATTTGGGCATCTTACTGTAAAAAAAAAAACATACAATTAATGTAAAAAATAAACTCTAAATAAACTATGTTCACATCCAGAATCAAACCCAGGTCTTTTGCACGAGAGTCCGACGTCTTACTAAGTGAGATAAAGCGCCAGTGATGTCTTTTGTATCTGTAACATTTATATCCTTGATAATAGCTAAAACAACGTTCAAAGAACGGTTCGGAGTGAAAATGGCTATTTTGTTGCTAATTTGCAGGACATATCTAGAAGAAAATTCTACAGAAAGTAGCTAAGGGTCCTCAAAAATGTAGCTAGCTTTGTCACTAGGCGTTAGGAACAGCGACAAAGTGGCACTGCCTCTCTCTCTGCTGCTAAAGCTACGGATAGCAAATGCTACGGGCTATGCCTGAGCGTGAACGCGCATGAAGCAGCCTGCTCGACCCGAGCAGCTCTCATTTTCTGTGATTTTACAGAAAAACAAGCAATCACAGTAAAAATGACAGGGCTCATTCTCCAGGACCAGGGCATTGCAGGAGAATGTATGAAGAAGAAAATTATTATTTCTATACATGTTTTGGCTGTCAAACTTCCATAATGCCCCTTTAAATACAATTACAAAAATAAAAAAACTAAATAAATGAAAATGTCTTATCACAAAAAAAATGTTTATGGTACTTTTGTCAATCCTCATGTATTACAGAGAGTAGCCAAAGTTTTGTTCTCTACCTTCATTTGTTTGCCGGTTTCATCAGAGCATCTCACGGGTCTCATTGTGGTTCCTTCTTCTGCCGTACACCTGTGGATGGATGAACAATTGTTAAAATAATTATATAAATTACGCAGCAGAGATATGCAAACATTGTTTTTTAATAAGTAGAATTGGAGAAAGCTATGCAAATTTGGAATCTAGTGGACATAAAAGCACACACATTCAATAAAACACCTGTTAGACGTAAATTTACACTCACAGATCAGTCATCATTGTTTTATTCATTCTATGAAGGAGTGGAGCTGAAGATGCTGCATGTTGGTAACTAACAACAAAAAAGTGAATATATTAGCGGGGAATATGCATGAAACATTAAGCTGATCCTGATCTGTTTGTCACCGGTTATTTTTTTCATAAATAAAAGTGCTTCTGTTTATATAGCATTAGCATCACTTACTAACAAAGGAAGGTGCTAATATAGTCATGCGCAAATATAAAACAAAGCAACAATCCAGTTCAATCTTTCTAAACAAAATAAAAACAATAAAACAATTACTTTATGATGCTAAGGTGTTGTAATATGTAGCAAAAATCTGTCCAAAAGAAAAATACAAACCTTAGCATAACACCGGCTTTGCAGGCCGTGTGACGGCCGTCATCTTTGAAACGTGATGCCAATGTTCACCCTAGTTTGTCCTCCGTGTCTTCTTTGTTCTCTATGTCCTCTGTGTCTTCTGTGTCATCTGCGTCTTCTTCGTCCTCTATATCTTCTGTGTCTACTTTGTCTTCTATGTCCTCTGTGTCCTCCATATACTCCATGTCCTGCTACTTGAAATGCTGTTGTTGTTTTTGGGACTCTGTTAGTAGCGGCTGGCTGAACATTTCACCGCCGGTTCGGCCGATCATCTCCCATCCGGATGTGTTCTGCTGAAAAATGAGTCCGTGCACAAAGATGTAGGTCACGGGGAAGTGCGGAAATGCTGCGGTTTGGCAAGACAGACAAACGGGTTGTCCAATTGTTGCTTCCGGTACGAATGCAATGATTGGCTGAGGTTTTTAGACAAATGCAAGAGAACTACTTTATTCATTTTTTTAAAGTTTTTTTTATCTCCACAATATATTTATAGCTATGATACATTTTCCAAATTAAGGAATGCAGCTTTAAATGAGCTTAACCCTCTCAGGCTCAAAATAAGTTTTGATAAAAGAACAAACTAAGTCCTTCAGGGGTTCTTCTGAGTAAAAAATGCTCATGAAATACGTGTGTGGAGTAACCAGGTAGGTAGGTTTAAACGTTGCAAACCTGCAACGCCTGCCTCCAGAGGGTTAATCTGAATAATTCATAAAAATAATTTCTGAGAATGGACATATGCTGACTGGACTTTCTGGTTAGAATTAAGGTTTATCTTTTCTACGGATTTTGGTCATAATTCTGTTTAAGGTTTGATTTAAATAGCTGTTTTTTCAGGGCAGAAGCTTACCTCTGAGACGACTGTGCCTTCTGAAGGGTTGACAAGCACCACAGTCTCGAGCACCTCACTTTTGTGATGCAGAGTCCTCTGCCCTGCAAGAAAAGATGAAAAACATTAATGGAGTAGATCTGACGCTGCTCAGGCCTGAAGATGAGCCAATCTGCCAAACATTTGCTTATCTGGAGCTCTTGTTTCGACAGAACCATCAGGAGGTCTGCTGTGCTCCTGTCTACAGTGTGTATAAGGCAATCCCTATAAAGAAATATTCAACCAATTGGTTCAATATTGCAAGGACGGAAGCTGGAACGAGTCACTTGCTGTGCTTGCGGTTGTACACACAGCACACAAGCTTACACAGCAGCCTTCCCCTCCAGCTCACCTGTCGGACCAGCGTGGGGTTTGGTGGTCGTCTATTGAGTACCGCTGGAATAGATGAATGTCCTGCCCCGATTACTAATTTTGTTTCAATGACTCCCAGCATTTCTATCTAAAGCTTTTTTCAAACCATTAGATCAGCTGATTGTGTTGTTTTTGAGGGGAGAGAAACACACCAGTGTTAGGAAATCACTATTATGTAGATTGAAATTTGAGAAAATGCTGCTGTTGTGTCCTTTGGCAAGACACTCAACCCGCCTTGCCTGCAGGTGGTGGTTGGAGGGACCAGTGTGCGGCAGCCTCACCTCTGTCAGTGCGCCTCAGGGCAGCTGTGGCTAAATTGTAGCTCATCCCCACCAGGTGTGTGAATGGGTGGGTGAATGACTGATTATAATGTGAAGCCCCTTAGGCGGTTGCAGAACCCTAAGAAGGCACTATTCAAATACAGGCCATTTACCACGGTGGTCCTTTTTTTGCCTATTTTTAAATTTTATTGTTGATTCATCCATTCATCCATTTTCTTCTGCTTATTCGGGTCACGGGGGCAGCTGCCTAAGTCGAGAGGTCCAGACTTCCCTCTCCCCAGCTATCTGGGCCAGCTCTTCCGGGGCATTCCCCGGCCAGGTGAGAGACATAGTCCCTCCAGTGTGTCCGGAGTTTTCCAGAAAACCTCACCAGGGAGGCATCCAAGAGATATCCTGACCAGATGCCCGAGCCACCTCAACTGGCTCCTCTCAATGTGGAGGAGCAGCGGATCTACTCAGAGCCCCTCCCGGACGACTGAGCTTCTGACCCTATCTCCAAGGGAGAGCCCAGCCACCCTGCAGAGAAAACTCGTTTCAGACGCTTGTATTTGTGATCTCGTTCTTTCGGTCACTACCCAAAGCTCGTGACCATAGGTGAGGGTAGGAACGTAGATCGACCGGTAAATTGAGAGCTTTGCCTTCTGGCTCAGCTCTCTCTTCACCACAACAGATCGGTACAATGCCCTCATCACTGCAGACGCAGCACCAATCCACCATCGATCTCACATTCCAGTTTTCCCTCACTCGTGAACAAGACCCCAAGATACTTAAACTCCTCCACTTAAGGCAGGACCTCATCCCTGACCTGGAGAAGGCATTCTACCCTTTTCTGATTCAAGACCATGGTCTCAGATTTAGAGGAGCTGATCCTCATCCCAGCCGCTTCACACTCGGCTGCGAACCGCTCCAGCAAAAGCTGGAGATCACTTTTCGGCAAAGCCAAAAGGACCACATCATCTGCAAAAGCAAAACAGATCCCCTCTCACCTTGGCTGCACCTAGAAATCCTGTCCATAAAAGTTATGAACAGAATCGGTGACAAAAGGCAGCCTTGGTGGAGTCCAACTCTCACCGGAAACAAGCCCAACTTATTACAGACCAAGCTGTGACAAATTCTGTTACACCCAGTTCTTTCTCTCCTAATAAAAATATGGAAACAATTTATTTCTAAATTCATATTTAAACTTGGTTAACTTGTTCAAGTTAATTAATAATAATAATAATAATAATAATAGATCAAACTTATATAACGCTTTTTAGGACACTCAAAGCCGAGGACACCACGGGTTAACCATGGAGACATGGAGAGAGGGATGGAACCTCAAGGCTCGAGGAAGGCGAAGAGCGATAGCCATGGGGTTAGGGCCTTGGAAATTGGGAAGGGGCTGATAAATCGGGGGGCCAGCTTCCTGCAATCCACCTGGAGTGGGACATCAGCTGTAGACAGCCACACCTTCTGACCTAGGCCATACGTGGGGGCAGGAACATGCTGCCTGTTGGCTGAACGGGCATAAACAGTCGAGGCCTGGAGGAGAGGGAGCCTGGTGGACCACCAGGCATGGCGACACCTGAGGGCGGCAGCCTAGGCAGAGGGGACTCTGCCCAGGGATTCCTGGAGGGCGAACGCAGGAGGCTGAAAACCATAGACAGTGTAGAAGGAGGACAGACCTGTAGCAGAGGCGGGTTGAAGGAGTTCATGGCATATTTTACCCACGGCAGGTTTTGGGACCAGGTCTGGCTGTTGTTTTGGCACAAGAGCCGGAGCTTGGTTTCCACCTCCTGGTTGTGCTTTTCGGTCTGTCTGTCCGACTGTGGATGAAAGCCAGAGGAGAGGCTCACCTGAATGCCCAGATGTGCACAAACAGTCCTCCCAAATTTGGACACAAACTGAGGCCCCCTGTCCGAGACAATGTCCTGCGGCAGACCATGGAGACGGAAGACCTCACGTGCCAGAATGTCCGCCATGTCTGAGGCAGTGGGAAGCTTTTTGAGGGGGACCAGGTGAACCATCTTAGAGAAACAGTAAACTATGGTGAGTATTACCGTAAAGGTGTTGGAAGAGGGAAGACCAGTGATGAAGTCTATGCTGATATGAGACCAGGGTCGACGAGGAATGGACAGTGGTCGGAGGAGGCCAGCAAGGGGCCTATGAGATGGCTTAGCTTGGGCGCAATCGAAACAGGCCATGACAAACTCCCGGGAGTCTTTGAGCAAGGTGGGCCACCAGAACCTGCCCCTGACCACGTTGGCCATCCAGGAAATACCTGGATGACAATAAAGGCGAGAGTTGTGGCAGAACAGTAATACCTCCATCCGCAGGTGATCAGGGATGTACAGTCGGTCAGGGGGGCACTGAGGGGGTGCCAGGTGGAGATGTCCAGTCTGATGTCTGTGGGAGTGTCGGACTTTGGTGCCTGTGGTTCCATGGCTCTAGACCAGGGGTGTCAAACTCAAATTCACACTGGGCCAAAATGAAAATCTGGGACAAAGTCGCAGACCAAACTTTATTTTTTGAAAAAGTGACTGAAAATTTGCACATTTTCTTTATCGGTATATATGCGATTTTGAACCTTTTAATTTGGAAACAAATATATTTTTGCATTAACACTGAATGTGGAATAACCAAATTACACAAAAGCAAGTCAATTTTAAATAAAACACATCAGTGGTATTCATTAATTGTGATATATTCATAATTTTTAAAATCTATTCAGGATTTATGTTTTCTTGTTGTTTATTCATTTTTCTTATTTTTTATTCTCCTTTTTTTTCTCTTGTAATACGTGTCATCGCTGTTGTGACATCTAGCTTTCCTCACTGAAGAACAATAAAGGGGTTTTCTATTCATCTATCTGCAGCCTTTCCACTTCCTGTTTACTGTAGGTTAAATATTTTCTCACAGGCCAACAACAAAATTAAAATATTATTTTGTCTTAAATGAAAATGCAATATCTCAACTGTTAACTTTCATGTTTTGGAGCAGAAAAAGAGCATAAAACCAAAATATTTAAAGCTCAGTTTGCTCCACTGGTTTACTGTGATGCTCACCTGTTCCAGCCAGATACCTGCATCATGGGGTTGATCTGAGCTGAGGAGGAGACTCCTGTTGTTTTGTTCATCTTCATCATAATAATGACAACATTAGATGACAACAGTTGCTCACATAGGTTTGTGCTGCTGAACATGCAGAGCGTCCGAGCAGCTTGACCACGTTGTTGTGTGTCGGGGAGGAAAAATAACAACTACAGCAGCCACAGAGTCATGCTGATTTGAGCATGTCACTGCTCACTGGAGTTATATTAGCTCTGTCTGGAAGCTAGTTGAAAAACTTTCTCTTTCAGTCGTGAACACATTACTGAGCAGTTAAAATCTCCGTTTCTGGCCTTCAACGTCGGCAAATGGCTGAGTAAGCCCAGCGCTGAGTGAGAGGAGTGCTTAGTTTTTCAGAGATAGAGGAGCTGCAGACACCGGCAGCAGACGCTGGAAAAAACACAAAGGAGGGAGCGCTTCGGCTCAGCACTAACGCCGCAAAGCATAATCAGCGTTGTTGTCTTTGCTGTAAAATTGGCCAGCGGGTCATTTTTAATATATTTTTTATATTTATCTTGCGGGCCACATAAGAATGCTCCTTGTGTCTGACACATTTGTTCTAGCCAGTGCATCAGGTTTGGTGCTCTTTGAGCTGGGTCTGTGAGACAAGGGAAAATTGAAACGGCTAAAAAACAACGCCCACCTGGCTTGACGGGGGTTGAGGCGCTTGGCTGTTCATAGATACTCCATGTTCTTATGGTCTGTCCAGACCAGGAAGGGTGTAACAACCCCTTCCAGCCAATGCCTCCGCTCCTCGAGGGCGAGCATGACCGCCAAGAGTTCCCGGTTACCCACGTCGTAATTTCGCTCAGCAGGGGACAGAGTCTTTGAAAAGAAAGCACATGGGTGAACCTTATCACAGCTGTGTTGACTCAAAACAGCCCCTACACCAACAGCAGAGGCATCCACCTCCACGATGAACTGGCAAAAAGGATTCAGGGAGTGAAGGACTGGAGCGGTGGTAAATAGTTGTTTTAAGATTGAGAAACTTTTGGTTGTCATGATCATTCCATACATACTTGACACTGGTCAAGGTAAGGGCATGGAGGGGTGCCGCAATCCTGCTTTACCCCTTGATGAACCACCAGTAGAAGTTTACGAACCCCAGGAAGTGTTGCGCCAGTCGACAACAGCGGTTACCTTGGTGGGGTCCATTAAGATCCGATCGGGGGCGAGGATGAATCCAAGGAAGAACATGGAGTCTTTGAGGAAATCACATTTCTCGGCCTTAATGAAGAGGTTGTTTTGTAGCAGAAGGAGGATGACTGCCCTGACATGCTTTCTGTGGGTCTCAAGATCAGGAGAGAAAACTAGCACATCATC